TTTTCACTTTTTCATCTGAATAAAGGGTCTAAGGGAGGTGCTTCCTCTGAGTGTTTCTGGGTGAAAGATGCGGCTAATGTGTGTGGAGGGGGATCTTCACTAGCCATTGCTGAAGACATGACCTCCACCTTCATTTCATCTTTCTGTCCCCACTTGGGGAATGGGTCCCCCACCCCCTCTTCCTTCAGGGAGGCTGGATACTTTGAGTGTGTTCCTTTGTGTGCTGTCCTTCTCTATCCAGTGAGGGAGGTGACCAAATCCTAGAAAGAAAAAAAGAAGGAAATGAATTAGTAATTCTTGTCACCTTGAAAGGACACCGCGTCCCATGGGTCTGTCAAGAGTATAAGCAGTGAGGCTTGTAGCAGTCCTGTCAGCCTGTCGCTAGCATGACGTGCTGACTCCCCTCCCTTCCTGCTGAGGTCAGCCATCACCTGTTGTGTCACAGGTCTTATGAAGGACCGGCTTGTAAAAGACTTTGCAGATTTGGAACTTGATTTTAACAGTTTGATAATTTCCTGACCTTTTGACCTTGGCTTACTTGAGAAAGGGTAGGCGGCGGGTTATAAAACACACAGCAAAACAAAAAACTTGCATCCTGGATCGTGAGAGAGGTGACCACACTTTTCGAGATCACTATCAACATCTTGTAGATTTAGATTTCAAAGTAAGTCACCAATATCACTACATTTCCCACTGGACGCTTTAGCATGTCCGTTATTAAGTACTTTCTTTCCTTGTTTTTCTCCAGTAATGAAGAAGAAGGGGGAAGGATTCTGAGAAAGGCACACAAGTTTAAGGGCTGCAGCTTGCAGCCTTGAATTGGAGATTATTAACTTTAAACAGCTCCCTCTGCCATTTGCGTTTCGAAGTACCAATTTTTCTATTACATGTACACTTTCATGTGGTGAGAGTTCATTTTGTTCAGTGATCCAACATTTCCATTAACTGGCTTTTGGGGTTTAAATGTGGATCGTAAATATAATTTGTGTCGGGGTGTATAAAATGGAGGGAAAGTCAAAGAAAATTATTGCTTTCAGGGTAAAAAGCAGAAGAAAGGGTTCTTCAGGGGCACGTTTTGTTTGTTTTAGGTCAGTAATCCTTTGATCTTGATTAATTATGAACTCCACTGAACCCTGCGCTCCGTAGAGCAGACAGATCATAAACCTGGACTCAGACTTTGGCTGCCCCGCCTCCCAGGGATCCCTTATCCCCCCTTTTTGCTGCATAATCACCCAGAAAGCCCCTTGGGACGGACTCTTTAGACTGTGCAAAGAAATAATTCTTTGTTGGTGCGAATAAAATAAATTTTACTTCTTAAGATACTGTCCTTTATCCTGGTACCGGAAAAAAAACAAACAAAAAAATAATGTCCTTTATTCGTGTCAAAGTTGCTCATATTTTAATGATTTTTGACAGAAACTTCCAACTATCTCCAGTAGATGCCTTGAATGTTAATGAGCTCTTGGGAATAAATCTCCCCATAATTTCCTAAAATGTTTTAACTGGCCTTAAAATATCCATATTAACGTTTACAGAAGCTCTCTGTAATGCTGTAGTGGATTTACCATCACAATAAAAAGCGCATAGACACGACAGCTTTTATCTCGCCCCTTCAATAACTGTCCGGCAGCTCCAGGGCTGGAGAGGAAGGGAGAGGAAGATATAGAGGCAGACGGGAGGATAGTGCCAGCTGAGCGGCTTTGTCTGCTATTGGGCAGAGCCTACACCTGAATTCTCCTGCCTGGCTCCTGTGTAATCCTCTCCTGGCACAGTGCAGGCAGTCGTCCATGTTAGGCTATCCAAAGTTAAATGATGTCTTTTTTTTTTTTTTAAGCTGAATACACTTAACCACGTTGGGAGGCTGAGCCAGGAGGGTTGCAAGTTCTTTCCTCTCTTTCTTTTTTCGGTACCGGCAATCAAACTCGGGACCTTATGCTTGCCAGGCCGGAGCTTGAGCTATAACCCTGGCCCCAGGCTGCAAGTTCTAAGGCAAATTAATGAGACCCTGTCTCAAAAAAAGGGGGGTGTATAGCTTACTGCAAAGGTCCTAGGTTCACTCCTCAGTACTATCTAATTAATTAATTAAAAGTATTTTCTTGAAAAATTCTCTTTCTTGAATTCCATGAAACGGGAAATGTTTAATTGCGTTATATTTACATTTCTTTACCTTTTCTTTCAGATGCACAGATTTGTTCTTGATGTTGGAGGGTAGTGTGAGTTTAGTTTCATGGAGCCAATGTTTTCAAACTCCAACGTAATTTTAAGTGCGTTCTGGAGCCTACCGCCGACATCACTGACCCACTGTGCTGCTACATTTCGCTACTGAAGGGTACGAGGTGCTGTCTGACCAGGAATCCCACCTAGGGCGTAAGAGGTTTATGCCCAGGAGTCTCTGTTCTCTGGCTCCCATGGTCAGAATGTTAGGATTGGGGCTTTAGTGAGAGAGCAGAAAGTTTGCAAATTTCAAGAAAAGTGGTTACTTTCCTTGCTGATTGTACGTGTGCCCCGACCAAGAAGCTGCCACAGGTGTCCTTCTCCATCTCTCCTGCTTTGACCAGAGCCCTCAGCTCAGCTTTTCTCCAGGCCGGGTGCACTAACGCACACCTATAATTCCAGCTGGCCCCCAAAGCCGAGGCAGGAGGACCACAAGTTCAAAGCACACCTGGGCAACTTAGCAAGACCCTGTCTCAAAATAATTTTGGCGGGGGGGTGCTGGGGATTTAGCTCAGCGGCGCAGCACCTGCCTGGCAAGCACAAGGTCGTGAGTTCAATTCTTGGTACCAAAAGAAAAACAAAACAAAAAAATAATAGTAATAATTTTTTTTTTTTTTAAAGGACTAAGAACAGGGCATGTATTCTAACCTGTCAGGAGGCTTAGAGGCAGCTGGTCCCAGCCAGAACAACTCTGGGAGTTAGTGAAACCCTTTCTCAAAATTTTAAAAAGGGTTGGGTGTGTACTTCCATGTGAAAACCTTGGGTTCAGTCCCCAGTACCACCATCCCGTGCCCAAAACAAGAGCCCAGGGCTATTGTGTTCATTATATCCCAGGTGTAAGTGATTAGTCATCGTGCTTGTGGGTATCATGTATTTAGTATTCTTGGGCTTGCTGAATTTAAATACTGTTGGAAAAGGTTTTGTTGTGGTTCAGTTTGGTCCTTTGAGACAGGATCTCACTACATAGTCTAAGCCAGTCTCCAACTCATCAGTCCTCCCGCCTCAGCCTCCCAGTGTTGGGATTATATGAACGTGTCAGCATGACACGTTGTTGTTTAGAAACAAAACAAAACTACAGGGCCTTCCATAAGACATGTTTAATACATTAAGTAAAAAAGTTTTAGTAAGAGTTTTTACAGAAAAAAAGAAAGAAGAACGAGCTGTATGCAGAATCCAGCCGAATCACTTCCCATGCAGGCTTCACCAGTGCAGGAGATACACACCTAGAGGCTAAATTAACAACTGCCTTGTAAACAGGGTAGCCAGAGTGCGTCCATCCTAACCTTGAGAACCTTAAAGTAAGGCAGGAGACGGGCGTGGTATGTGGTGATTTTCAGTCGCGCACGCACACATCGGCCTGGCCCGGGCCTCCCGTCCCGCTCCCCCGCAGTCTCTCGTGGATTAGCCCCTGAACCTCCGCGTGGGAGGCCGCTGTGGCCTCAGGGTACCCAGGGGCGAGGATCCGCGGCCCCGGGGGTCTTGTCTGCCGGTATTTCCCCAGCAGCTTCCTCCGAGTCCTCCATCGCCTCTGTGAAGCTTTAATGTGTACTTCCAGCCCTCATCTTTGTGTCTTCGCGTCATTTCGTTCCCTTGGCCATTATGGGTCACAGGATACAGCAACAAAAGAAGAGGGAAAGCCAGGCTAGGGAAAGGCGCCCTGGTCCCCCGGGAGCCGCGGTGTGCCCCTGTGTGGCTCCTGCTGGCCCCAAGCTGGGAGAGTAGGCATGTTTGCAGCAAACTGTATTACAGAGGCACATAGCGTGCTAGATCTGAACTGACCGATACATAAAATACGGGCATCTCGTTTTGAATCAGAATCACTAGTTTCCTTTTTTTTTTGTTTTAGATTTTTTTTTTTGTCTTCTTTTGTTTTTTACTTTTTTGAGGCAAGGTCTCACAGTGTAGTTGAGCTATGTATCCCAGTCTGGCCTTGAACTCAAAAGGAGTCCTCCTGCCTCAGCTTCCCAAATGCTGGGATTACATTACAGACCATGCCCGGCTCAGAATTACTGGTTTCTGAAAATAAGAACTTACATCTTAGAAAGAAAGAAGGGGGGGGAAGGGAGGAGAAAGGGAGAAAGAAAGAAATCTGGGCGGGTATGGTGGCACATACCTGTAATACCAGCACTTGGGAGGCTGAGGCAGGAGGATCCTCATGAATTCAAGGTCAGCCTGGGATGCATACTGAATTCAAGGCCAGACTGAACTGTGTATAGCAAAACCTTGTCTCAAAAAGATGAAAAAAAAAAATTATAAATTATTGACTTTAATAATCATTTGTATTTCAAATATCAGCCAGACAACCAGTGTTTTCCACAGTAATAGGGAAAATGTCCCCTGTCATATGTGCACTAGAACGTGGTGTGTGGGTGAGAAGGTTTATTTATGTGCTCCAGTGTAGCTAGGTAGCATCCACAACAAAGGTTTGGGGCGGGCTTCTCCAGGGTGTGGAAGGGTGAAGACGGACATGGCCCTCCCCTCCCCTCCAAGGCCAGGACTTGGACATACAGGGCATGAATGACCTTGTGGGGCAGCAGAATTTCTGGCTGGTGATTCAAAACTACAGTGAGGATTCCTCAGATATTTTCTGTGGCTTCCCTCATGGATTCTGAGCCTAATACAGAGAAGGAAAAAAGCCTGTTCACACCCAGGCAGGTCTCAGGCTCCAACAATATAAGCAGTTAGTTCTCAGCCTGCTTGGTTCCCGGTTGGTGGTTAGGTCCCCAGTCATTGGCAAGCAAGGATTTCACACCCCTTTTAGGTACCATGTTATGCATCGGGGTTCCTTTTCTGAAAACTCCATACTTTAAAAAAAAAAAAAAAACCTCAGCTGATAATGAAGAGAAGACTATCAAAGCCATGCAGAAGCCTTGGTGGCCGGGGTTACTGTGACGTGAGCGGGACAAGCGCAGGAGGCAGGGACATACAGAAGTAGGGTGCAGCGCCTGCTGTCTTCCTTCCGCTCAGGGGCCCTGGCGCTGGGAGTTCAGACAACGCTGTCAGAGCCTGGGGCAGGGCAGTTTCAGTTATGAGCCTCAAAATGTAATTTGTGGTTGATCTCACTGATCTTAAGTATCTGGGGATCCACCCTCCCCACCTCCGCATTACTGGTGCGTGAAGCCAGGGCCTTCGCACTGAGCTACATCCCACCCCTAGCCCTTTCTTCGTATTTTATTTTACTTTGTTTTTATTTTGAGACAGGGTCTCTCCCTCGGTTGCTGGCTTGTCCAGGCTGGGCCCGAACTTTCCGCCCTCCCTCCTCCCTCCGCCTCCCAGACTGCTGGGATTCTAGCTGTGCGCATCACCAACGCTGGTGGGAGGCCTTTTTCTTACGTGATCGTAGCCCACTTTCAGCTTCTCTACTGTGGAGATCATGCACAGCGATTCTCTTCAGGAAGCAGACATTTGATGTTCTAGAAGGTTCTTCTGCACTTCAGTGTTTGACAGGAGAGCCTGTGCCACACTTGCCGCTGCCAGAAATGGCATCTTCGCAAGTGCGTCTTCTCGCATGGGAACTCGGGGGCTTTTTTTCGCTGTTTGCTGAAATAGCCTAAAGTAAGCACACATTCGGTCATTAACACAGAGGCCTTTTTTCCTGTGCCATTAAGCATGTATACAAGTACTCTACCTCTAGTGGCTTGTGCAGAGCAGAAAATCCTGTTCCTGCCATATGTAAAAGCCACATTATAATTTTCCTTGCCTGTCGCGTCAAGAATATATGAATGTCTAAAACCAGGGCAGTCCCCTTTCAATTTTTGCCCCCACCCACAGTCCTCCTTTTTGAAAATTCTCCAGCAGTTGACACTTGAACGCTCCCAGAACCCGACCTAACAAGTAGACCTACCAATACCTTTGGCTTCTCAGTACATTTGATTCTGCTGAAATATTTTGTGGGATTCGTTTTACATATGTACATATATTTTACATATATATATATATTCTGATGCAATCTTAGAGCCTTTACAAATCTATAGGCACAAGGAAGCCTGGAGCGTGGGGATATGATTAAAATAAAGTGAGTGTGCCTGGCTCCCCGGCGGAGCTGTGTTATATTTGGCCCCGCTGGTGTCTGGAGTTGGCGGGAGAGGCTAATCCCTCTCGAGGTCTGGTGAGGTGGGAGGAGGACGGAAGGCTGGGAGGAAGTGAGTCTGATGTTTAGCATAATGGAGAGATAAAGGAGTCCTGTAATCAGATAAGGGCTGGGGCAGAATTTACGAGGGATTTAGAAGTCCCAGTCTCCATCCCTGAAAGAAGCCGAGAGAGGAGGGGCAGGCGCAGAAGGGCCAGGCACAGATGGCAGGCGGGATTCCTTTCCTCTGCAGGTGTCTGCACTGCGTCCTCAGGCCCGGCCTTGGGGAAACCGATCTCTGCTGGGAAGCACTGGGGGCCAGTTGCAAATGTCCTGTTGGATCCCTGCTCTTCCCCTCCCTGGAGGCCCTTGGCGGGCAGTCTCTAAACCCGCCCCTCAGTGCCCCAGGCCTGGGGTTTAGAGCACCGCTTCTGCAATCACAGCCAGCCTTTCAGCAGAAATAGCGAGAGCTCCCACTTACCACACTTGTCTGGTTCTGGCGCTTGACCTTCGCTTTGAACCAGCAGGGTAGATCCTGTCTTCATTTTGCAGAGGAAGAAACAAACTCAAAACAGCAAAATTTTCTGCTACTAAAGCAGTTATGTGCTGCTGCCCCATCTGGCCGAGCGGCCCACATTCCTCACACGACTGTGCTACCTTGTCACCATCACTGTCCTCCAGTGCCTTTGTTTACTTCTGAGGCGGCCTGCTTTGAGTCTGGAGAGAACAGAACAAAAGGGCCGAGATCTAAAACCTGTACTTGGGGGTGCTAGCCTGGCTTTGGAATTGTTTTTTTTTGCCTTCCTGTCCTGCTGTAGGATGTTAGTTGCCTCTTTCCTACTGGTGGATGAGAGTGCAAATAAGTCCACATGTGGGAAGCATAAAGCAGTTTCCTTAGAGAAACACTGAAGTGGAAGACCCCTAGTCGCCAGTCCTACTTGTAACATGGCTAAGGAACAGAGTCGTGCCTTAGTGGTGGTAGATGGCATTTGTGACGATACTGGTTCGTTGGAGACGTTCTGCTCAAGTTCAGACCTGGGTCCACTGCAGTCCATGTTCCAGCGCATGACTGGACCTAACCAGCGTACTGTGTAACAGGTGCCAACTTCAGAAGCTTTTTTTAAAAATTTAACCTCATAATTTTTGACAGTGGTAGTGCGTTTTGAAAATGCTTCTAAGGCTTACCAGTGTTACAGATTTTGGGGTAGCTGCAGTCTCCTTCTAGAGGTGGTTTCTAGGTTCTTTCTGTACTGAACAAAGAACTGGTCAAGACAAACACACAAGGTAGCAAGGTTTTTACATGATTAAAGGTAGGAAAAGAAATGCACTGCAGGCTGGGTATGGTGGTGCATGTCTGTAATCCCAGCACTCCAGAGGCTGAGGCAGGAGGGGCTACAAAATGAGTTTAAAGCCAGCCTGAACTATATAGTGAGACCTTGTCTCAAAAAAAAAAAAAAAAAAAAACACCACAGAGCAAGTTGGGGCCAAATAAAAAACAGGGGAAAAATAAACTGTACAGTGTGAGTGGACTATTGTCTGTGGAAGAGAGAATGCAGAAGAGCAGGGGTCAGTGACAACTGTCCTTTGTGTATCTCCAGTCCTCAGGCTGGGTTCAGGTCAGGCCCATACTATGGAAAACCTGCTTAAGGTCTCAGAGAAGTCCAAGGGAGGGCTTAGGGAACTGTTCTGTGCTTGTGTCCTGAACTTTGTAATTAACAGATCTCATCTGCTTCCCCAGCCAGTCTGCCACACCCTAATCTCCTGCCTCACCAGAAGCACTTTCCTTCTCAAATATAAAAAAAAAAAAAAAATCAATCTGACTTCCCTTCCTGCTCCCCACCCCCAACAAGTCCCTGCATCTGTTTTAAACAGATGTTGTTTAATTCTTTGCACAAAGTGGGGGAGGGAAGGGAGTTTTCCTCCTTTACACCTTTTGGTAGTAGAGGTCACTTTCTCTTCTGCTCTGGGTGGGTGCAGCGTTTGAGCAGCCTCAGTGTATCACACGTAAGAGGATTATCCAGACAGCCTGCCTAGTGCTCCGTGCCCCTGCCTTGTGTTACGTAGCCAGATGCTATAATTCATGCTGGCTGTGAGCGTGACTGATGGAGGAGACCACAGGGGCATCTCTGGGGCATCTCCCCACCCACCCGCCGACCTCCTTACCTCCCACCCCATCACAGGGAAATCTGCTGGGGAGGCACTTGCTAGGAGGAATCAAGTCAGGAAGGAGGACGCAGCAGAGCCAAAGGACTAAATCAGCGGCCTTTGTAATCTGGAAGAAGGGGCAGTGGTATTTTTTTTTAAATCTCCAGCAAACAGGGACTTTTTGGAAATAAATCTGTGGCACTAACATAAATAATGCAAACTTTTCTCTCTCTCTCTCTCTCTCTCTGTCTTTTAAAAATGTTTGCGTACTCTCCTCAGCTGAAGGGAGAACAACACAGCCAAGCAGTACAAAACAAGGGACAGCACGATCTGAGCAGAGGTGGGTGGGGTGCCTGCTCTTCCCCTCATACGCTTCCTGTGGAGCTGAACCCTTAGTCGCACCCATAGAGGCGTCAGCTGTGCACTGGAGAAGTAGGAATACTGAGGACTCCTAGTTAACGGGTGTCATGAAAGAAAACACAAACTTGTAAAAAGTTGAAACTAATCTAAACAAGTATTATCAAATGTTCTTAACCCTGAGCATCCCAGCAATGTGCACGTTCAGTCCTGAGGTATGTGGATCCGTGATAGATGTACGTCTGTGACCTGTGATTTTGTGTGCATCTCTACATACGCAGCCTGGGGTATTCATCTAGTTTATCTGTTAACGAGAAGGAAGTCTTTAATGCTATCCCAGTTAAGCCTTTGTAGTTCATAAGTAGGTGAGGGTCAACACTTCTATGTGGATTCTATTAGCTACAAGTATGGTTTTTGTTGGAGGTGGGTAGTTTTTTTGTGTGTGTTTTTTTTTTGGACTATGTAGTCCAGGCTGGCTTTGAACTCACCATGTAGCCCATGCTGGCTTTATACTCATGGCAATCCTCCTGTCTCAGCCTCGTGAGTGCTGAGATTACAGGCATGTGCCAACATACCCAGCTTTCAAGTATGTTTTTAAAAATTTGATTATTTGTATATTTAACCCACTCACTCCACAATTTACTAACACACCAGATACCACTCTAGGTTCTCAAGCAATAGGGGTGAACCAAAAGGACAATGTCCTTGGTCTCATGAGTTGACATCCTCTTAGGCAAATAGATTACAGGGCTAGCATGGCAGGAAGATGTAAGAGGTGGAAGGTGCCTCTTTATAGTGTGAATGGGGAAGTCTGTAATGAAATAGCCATGGGTGGAGACCTGAATAAAGTAAGAGAAGAAAGGCCACTTGGTAAGTGGGATAACAGAGGGAAGTGGGGTTTGAAGTACAAGTGATAGCAAGTGCAAGGGCCCTCTGGCAGGAGCTTGCCTGCTGCGGAGCTCCGCGGGACTGAAGAGGAGTGAGCAGACAGGAGAGTAGTAAAACAAGGGCAAGACTCCGGCTTTTACTCGGAATGATACAGGAAACCGCTAGAAGGCTTGTTCAGTAGGAACCCGATCTGATTGACCTGTTTTCCGGGAAAGTGGGGCAAACATGGAAGTCAAGATGCCAACTGAGAGGTGAGGTTGGTCATCTCCGTGGAAAGGGTTGGCAACCAGGACGAGGGCAGGATTGATGGGGGTGGGGACAAGTGACTTGGGGATATCCTTTCGAGGGAGAACCACAAAGGGTCAGGACGGGGTCGGGACCAAGCTGATACCTGCCTGCTGTGCCGCCTGTCAGATCCCTAGGCAGAGACATCACCAGGCCCGAGGCAGTTTGATTACCGTCTGCAGGTCAGAGAAGAGGCCTGGACCGAGATGTGCTGTGGGCACGCTTGGCGTGGAGGAGCTGGGCCTGGCCGGGAGAGGGACAGTGCAGTGCAGGGCTCTTCTGACTGTGTCTCTTTCCCAGTGCAGCTGGAGCCGGCTCATCTGTCTCCTTAGGGGGAGAAGGCTGCAGGAAGCAGGCTCCTTGGGGACAGAATGGCACGCACGGGGCGCTGCGTGGCGGCTAGGACCCACTCAGGGTTAGTGGTTATGACTTCACAATGAGGTCCTGAGCGTAGCAGAGTGGGGCTTTGGCCTCTCACCACGTTCAGCATACAGCGTGGAAGCGTGGCGTGGGCAGATGGCAAGGACGGGAGGGGTGTGGAGAGCTGGGTAGAGGTGGTCAGCAGACTGCCTGCCCCAGTGGGCCTGATGGGGAGGAGCCATGAAGCCGGGAGTGATGGTTGGAGCGCACAAAGGTGGCGCAGACGTTGTCACGGTCAAGGCGTGGCCTGGGCCTGAGTGGCTGTACTTGGGTGCAAGACAAAAGTGGCGGAGCAAGGAGTCCCAGAAACTGAAGCCAAGGAACCAGAAGGATCCTGAGACTCAGTGAGGACGTGACCACAAATCCCGGTGCAGGGGTCCCAGCAGACAGACAGATGGAGGGTGGTCGCCTGGTTGTTGTCCTCTTCACCCAGAGCAATGGAAGGTTGAAGCGGGGCGTGGTCAGCTGCAGGAGCCTCCGACTAACTGAAGGAAGGGCGAGTGGCCAGCAGCCAAGGTTAAAATGAGGAGCACCCTGGCTTGACCCCAGTGGGAGCTTTGGGGAGCCGGAGCAGCCCCGTGTTCACTCCGTTCAGGGTAAGATGGGGAAGGGAATGCTAGGGTTCGCGTTTACAGCGACAAGAAAGTCCATGGTGGTTGTCAGGGGCCGAGGTGGCAGGAGAGAGGGGAGCTGGTGTTCAGTGCGCGTGGGGTTTCAGTTCGGGGTAGTGCAGGGTTCCGGAGCTGGCCTGGTGCTGATGGTTGCACAGCAGTAGGGACGTGTTGATGCTACGTAACTGTACACTTAAAATAATTTTGTCTGTGTCCATAACACCCTGAATGCGCCTGAGCTCATCCAGTCTCAAGCTAAGCAGGGCTGGGCCCAGGTGCTGTAGGCTTTAAAATTAATGTCCGATATTATGTTCTATTTTACCCACCTTTTGGTGTTTTGAGATAAGGCCTCACTACATAGTCCAGGGTGGCCTCGAACTTGCGATCCTCCTGCCTCTGGACCTCCCCAGTGCCAGAATGACAGGCATGCACTGCTACACCCGACTTTTGTGTTTTATCACATTTTTTAAAAAACGAAAGACATGGTCCAAAAGAAATCAGGAAGATAAGTGGGGCTGTTGGACTTGGAGTCCTGGGTAACTGAGTCTGAGGCATGGGAGGTCAGGGAAAATCACAGTGGGATTTCGCCTTTCTGCAGAGGAAGGAGAGCAGGGAGGTGGAGCCCAGGGGTTTGTCTCCACAGTCTCCGACTCTCCAGCTCATGATGGGTGCCAGGCTCCAAGTCTTCTTCTCTGGGACCCAGGGAACAAGAGGGTTCGCTGTTACTCTGTGTCTTTGTTGCCCTGGAATCTGGCACCACGCCTGGTGTACATGAAATGCGAATATACATGGTAATTGAATGGGTGAAAAAAAATGAATTCTATCCAAAGAAAACACCAGGTGAGAATTTAATGACCTTGTTGAAAAATCCCCATAAATTCTCCCCCCCCAAATGATGAAGAATGAAAAGAAACCAGCAATGGTCTCTGGAGGAGAAAGAATTTTTAGCAAAGGTGCAAAAGAATTTATTGTGAAATGGAAGTTTTAGACTGGAAAAAATACAATCGCAAACTTAAAGCTACAGCTGTGCAGAGTTATTTGAATTGAAAGTAATTGCCTCTATAGACAGTTACATTGGAGAATTTGTGATTTAGAAGTTGATTGTCTTATGGTAAATAAAATTATTAGCTCTGTAAAAGATTAAGATTGGTCATTCATTGTAAACTAAAGCTTGAAGGGTGGACACCATAATGCCCTCTTCAGGCAATAAGTTGGTCTTTCTAGCTTACAAACGAGAGACCGGCTTGTTGATTTTATTGTTAATGCTTCCATATTTACATGTTGTGTTTTTCTGCCAAGAGTTGCAGCAGGCTGGGTTTGAGGTTTTTGCAGGCATTGATTATCCATAGACAAGTCAGAGAAGTACAGCCTGGTGGTCCTCTTGCATTGTGAACTTGTTCTGCAGCTACCAGACCATTGTCATGCCCCGTTCTTCTTGTTGTCGTTTTAGTGACAGCTATATTGTGCGCGTCAAGGCTGTGGTTATGACCAGAGATGACTCCAGCGGGGGATGGTTCCCACAGGAAGGAGGCGGGATCAGTCGCGTCGGGGTCTGTAAGGTCATGCACCCCGAAGGCAACGGACGAAGTGGCTTTCTCATCTATGGTGAACGGCAGAAAGACAAACTGGTAATGGCAGACGTACAACACTCGGGTGAAAATAGCAGCGACTGATTTCTTTACACAAAGCTGTAGCCCTCTTCACTTCGGGTTGTTTTGTTTTGTTTTTACTTTTCTTTGACTTCAAACAGTTGCGAGAATTTCCAAAGGTAGAACTCTGGGGCTGGTGCCAGAATTTTATTTTATTAGTTTCTTTCTTGCTTGCTTGCTTGCTTGCTTTCTTTCTTTCCTCTCTCTTTTTCCGAAATTTTAAAACCTGATTTCCGCTTCTTTGATCACATACTGTGTAACTCAGATGCTTAGAAGACTGCTTGTCTCTGCATCTTTGATTAATCAGATGCCTTCCTTTCTGTAACGTGGCATCAGAACAAACGTGTATTCTTGAGGATAATGAATCACATAATTGCACTGAACTGTCAAGCCAGAGTTTTAAGAATGCGGGGTGTTTATTCATGGAACTTGCCGTTAAGGTTTGAGGGTAGAAGGCAAGGTGCAGAGGCAGAACATCACCTGAAATTTGGTGCTTCTAAGTAAATATTTATCTAAAAGATATTGTAGCTTTTATTTCATAACTAATGAGTTTAGAAAAATTAAATAGTGGTATCACACTTCCAAAGATAATTATGCATCCATGTAAATAAATACTTGGGAGAGTGATCATTGCCTCACAAGAGTGGGATGAAGGATAGTTTGTAACACAGCTTCTCGTGAAGGAACTTGGATGTGAGTTGTATGTTATAATAGAATCTGTGGTAGAAAGGAAAATAGAATGTCCAGCACTTTAAAATTAATGGCCGCCAGGTGTGGTGGTACATGCCTTCAATCCCAGCACTCAGAAGGCTGAGGCAGGAGTATCACTGCAAGTTCGAGGCCAGCCTGAACTGCATAGCAAGACCCTGTCTCAAAAAAAGGCCAATAAATAAATTAAGTAATTAAAATTAATGGCCATAAACATGTACTCAATCGTGAAATGTCTATTTAGAAGCCAGTGGATGGCTCAGTGTGCAGGAGTGTACAGATCTCAGAAAATGCAGACAGTACCAGAATGGTAGTGTTCCATGTGAGACCCTTTACAGAGGCATCTGTTGAGTTTTATATGTTAACTGTGCAAAGTTAATCTGCATTTGCAACCATTTCTTATAGTTCAAAAAACTTAACAGGGGCTGGGCGTGGTGGCACAAGCCTGTAATCCCAGTACTCGGAGCGGCTGAGGCAGGAGAATTGCTGTGAGTTCAAGGCCAGCCTGGACTACAACGTGAGCTCAAGGCCAGCCTGAACTGCATAGCGAGACCCTGTATCAAAAAAACAAAAAAAAAAAAAAAAAAAAACTTAATGGATAAGAAAAAGAATCTGTAAATGTTATATATGGATTGATAGAAATGCCATGTTCCTACTTGATTTGTTTCTGACAATTCAGAGGGAGACTGCAGCTAATTTTAAAAAGTATTCAGGAAATTCCCTATGTCATAGTCAAATAATTAAAGCATTCTTTTTTAAAGAGAATTTTGCAGTGAATGCAGTATAAGTACATTCTCAATGAAAAGTGAAATAACCACCATTGATCTAACTTTCGTCACATGCTAAATACAGTATGAGCCCATTGGTCAGGTCACTGTAGCCTTATTGTAGCCTGGGTAATTATAACTGAATACATTAAGACCCAGAACGATTCCCTGTTAACCAACCACTTCGATGACCACCTATTATCCCGGCTGCTCAGGAAGCTAAGGCAGGAGCAAAGTTGGAGGCCACCCTGGGCAACTGAGACCCTGTTCCAAAACAAAAAGAAAAGTCACAAAGGCTGGTGTAATGCTTGCTTAGCATCCATGAGGTCCTGGGTTCAGTCCCCAATACTGCTCACAAAGGTTTCCTCGTACTTGTAACCCATTTGTGCAGCTTGGACCCCGTATTTGCTGGCTGGTCACACTGACCCCTAACCAAACCAGAATGCTTCTGCTCCCGGCAGGGCGTGAGGCATGTGGGAGCACTGCGAGGGGGCAGACTATCGAGGCACGAGGGTGGTGGGTTGTTCAGATCCACTGGGCAGGGACAGTGTCAGAATCCCCAGCATCCCAGCAAGGGCACGGCCTGCTCTTTGCGCTACGTTAGCAGTGTTGTCGGGGTTCCACTGTAGAGCAGTCCTGAGATTCAGTATGTTGTGGGGATTCTTGTTGTTTATTTTTAGTTACATAGTGGGGTCTCTGAGCTTAACGTTGTTTTTGTGAGAGTACAGACTCATGTTTATTCACAAGTAGTTATTCACAAAATTTTTGGTAAGTTAAGGGATGTTTTAAGTTTTCATTGGAAGTTACATGTAAATTAAAACTTTCTGAATTTTGAATCTTATTTTAGATGGATTAGAGAAGTTTATTCCTTAAGCTAATCCTATAAGAAACCACCTTATGAAGAGGAATTAAAAAACTAAAGGCGCAGGCCGGGGATATAGCTCAGTGGCACAAGCGCCTTCCTGGGAAGCCTAACGGCCTGAGTTCAATTCCCAGTACCAAAACAAAAAAAAAAAACTAAAGTCGTTGATGGTCCCAGTAGTTGCCCATGTGTAGGTCAGTAATCATTCTCATACATAATTTGTTGGGAATTCAAGCTGGCAGAGTTCTTTGAAAGGCAATTTGGCAGGATTATAATTTTACTTTTTTGGTGGAGGGGCAAGGTCTCACCATATAATTCAGATTGGCCTTAAACTCATGACAATCCTCCTGCCTCAGCCTCCTGAGTGCTGGGGTTACAAACCTGTGCCATCATGCGCAGTTAGGATCTTAATTTTAATGTGCGTAACTTTCTACCTAGAAATTCACATCTCAAACACTATCTTAAAGAAGCAGACTTATGCACAAAAATATGTATACAGCAGCAGTTCTTAAACTTTTTTGGCCTCAGGATCCCTTTACCCTCTAAAAATTGATGGAGAACCCCAGAGAGGCTTTCTTTGTTTTGTTGAATTACAGCTACTAATATTTATAAGATAAGAAATGAAAACTGAAAACTCTTAAGTAGTAGTGTTAACATAAATGACATTGTTTCTGACAAATAACTATATATCTATTTTGCAGAACAAAAGTAATGTACAAGAAGAGTGTTGCTGCTTGACATTTTTGGAAATCTTAATAGAAAAGAGCTGAATTCTGACATCTACTTCTGGTTAGAATCTGTTGTACCATAGCATTTTGGTTGAAGTACGTGAGGATAGGTAGTTGGAAAAGGGAGAAATATTTTAACAGCCTTTTCAGATAAGTTTATATTTTTGATACTCCATCAAAACTCCACCAGTAGCAGTTTCTTAAATGAGGAATCTGGAATCATTGATATGAACTTTTCATACTCTCTTATGCACACTAAAATCCACTGGTTTAACTTTTACTTTGAATGAATCTTTTTAATTTTCATTCTGATTTTTGTAGCCCCATACATTGGTCATCTGGAAAAGTGTAGTTTAAAAAATTTAAAAGAAAACATGGTTTACCAAGTTAAGCAGATCTCCCAAATGTTGATACATTTCATCCTGGATTTTAAAAAATGATTTCTTAATACCACCTGTGGTCTTACTAGAAAAGTATTTAGTCTGGATGTGGTGGCATAAGCCTGTAATCCTAGCATTCCAGAGGCTGAGGCAGGAGGATCACCGCAAGTTTGAGGGCAGCCTGAGTACATAGCGAGACCCTATCTCCAAGCACCAAAAGAAAGAGTATTTAACTATTAAGAAGCTGTCCAAAATTCTGATTTTCACTTGAAAATTCAAATTTTATTATTGGCAACAAATTCCTGAATTTGTTGAACAAAGCTTGCTTTGTTCATTTCCAAGAAAATTTATGCCAAGTAGGTGTGATTAGCCATAGCGGGCCATTCTTGCGGTAAAAATATTAATCCAAGAAAGCAGAAGCCGTATATGGTGGCACACACTTGTAATCCAGGCACTCTCGGGGAGCTGCGGCAGGAGGATTGTGAGTTCAAGCCCAGCCCGTGTGAGCTAGCCAAGACCCAGCCTCAGAACTTTAAAAAAGGGTTGGAGCTGTAGCTTAATTCAGTCTCCAGTGCTGCCAAAGAAGGGAGGGAGGGAGGAAACAGTCCTCTCACATGCAGCAGGGTGAGGGCTGTTGGGAAGCGCTTCCCTTTTCCAGCCATGCGTTTATGGGGAGCCAGGCTTTCTGCATACACTTCAGCCAGCCCAGCTCGAAGGCAGAACCCAGTGTGAGAACTCAGTTGTGCTCATTCTCCAGCTCACTGCGTAAAGAAAGTAGAGGCCTGTGCTCAGTGACCAAGGTCTAATAAAATAGTCTTTGCTTCTTTAAGAACATCCCTGCGGACTGGCATTTCTGAGACCCTGAGGCTGGGGAGCCCATCGCCCTTTGTATAGATTGGTGCCACCACACAGCCCTGGCCCATGCTTCTGCAGAGCAGTTACACACGCCATCCGCTCTCACCAGCAGTAGAGATGTCAGCACGATGAAAAGGGGCAGAACTGCTTCACGGTGCTGATAAAGGCGGTTCTCCCGTCCTGGTCCTCCAAAAGGGTCTGGAGATGGGAGGAGGCTGCCACGGGCCCACCGACCAAACTCTGAGGACTGTTCTGTGTGAGGCTGTAGACTGCAGTGTCTATAAAAGTGACCAATTTCAAGCAACCCAGTGCCCATCAGTGTGGAGAATGGTTGAATAAACCCACTGCACCTGTACAGAGAAATAACACTGAAAAGAACCATCGTGCGTTCTCTTCCTATATTCTAAGACATGTTTTCTTGTTTTTGCTTTTTGTCTTTTGGAAGTGGGAATCTCACCCACGGCCTCATGCACGCTTAACACATGTTCTACCACTAAGCTATACCCCCAACCCCTAAGACACATTTTTAAGGAAAATAGGAGGCATATTGCAAAAGTTCGTGGGTGTAAGTGTGGCTATGATGAAATGCACTCACACTGAACTTCTGTGTGTGGCTGGCAGGAGGCAATGCTGAAACAGAGAGGGGAAAAAGCGTAAGCCTGGAGCCTTCCTCTGTTCATCTGAGTTGCTTAACTTTCCCCTATGTATTTCTTGTGTCCATATTTTTAATGCCTCCAACAAGAGTACAATCGCTTGTTCTTCCCATGCATGTCATTTAAAAATACCTTTTTAGAGCCTTTCTCTAGTCTTCTGCTAATGCCTAGTGGTATGTATCCCACAACTTCACAGGAGGCTTTTATCTGCTTGTCTGAGCTTTTTCTTTTTTGCTGTTAACCTTCGGTATGTGATGATGTTCATTTACTTAAAGGGCCATAAAGAGATGATGCCTGGTTCCTTTCCCTCACCTTAGTTACGCGCCTCATCTTCTTTCAACTTCTCTAAGAAGATATATCTTGGCAATAATTTTAATGTTGGACAGTGCCAACCAAAGACTAATTTTTTTTTCACTCTAAAAGTATGGAAAAACTGAGTCTTTGTTTTTGCAAAAAGTTTATTTTGAGACTTTGAATTGAGACTATTAAATTCTAAAATAGATAACATTTGTTAGTTAAAGCCTGGGTTATTTGGATTTCCCCAATTTGGAATGGGGCTGGGCTGACATTTAATCATTGTACTATTCTTAGGGGGAAATGTTCATAATAAGCAATTTAATCATAAATAGAATTGTGTAAGGGGACTGTTGTCCTCTTTGAAGCCAGTGTTATAAAGTTAACTGCTCAAGACTGCTATTGAATATACCGATTTGAGTATTATTATTTATTAAGTTAGAGAACACTTACCTAGGCAGCATTAAATTTCTTTTTGCCTTGGTGTATCCTTGAAATTTGTATCCATTTAAGCACATTCCTTAAATTTACGTTCATTCAAGCAAGCCTTTACTCTCACCCTTCACTTAGCACAAATTAACAAGATCACACGGTGGTAACTGGGAAGCTTTTCCAGAATGAGACCAGGGCTGTTCAAACTTTAAAAAAAAAAAAATCATTATAGTGTTCATAACGAAGCTGTAGGAAGAAATATTGTAAATAGTTTGGGGTTAGTTTGGGGTTTTTATGAAGAAAGAATGAACTCTGTCACATGATTGCAGTGCTTCTTTTATTCTGTAACATTACATAAACTCTGGTGTCTCGATCGCTGTACTAGACACGGTGAGTTATTGTACAACATGTCTTGACCTTTAGTTAGGGAAACAAGATTACTGCGCATGAAACTGCTAGAGTAATGTAAAGGAAGGTACTGAACGGTGAGGGTACTGGGAACAGGGTGAATACAAGACACCAGCACAATGGTGAAAACACACTGGGGAATGAGTAGGGCCCTGTTAAGTTTCTCATTTATTCCATGTTTTCAGAACATGGTCTTCTCACTGAACAGTTTGCTGTTATTTCCACCTTTGCAATTAAAAGATCAAGGATCTTGATCTAGAGAGAAAAAGATCAAAGTTTTAGCTTAGCAGAAACCAGTTATGAGACTAGATTGTCAGAAACTTGGAGATTGTTCTAATAATCCAGAGGCAAACTTCATACATAGAGTCCCAGGTCAGTGTGGTGGCGGCTGAAATGGAGCTCATGTGAAAAACAGCATAAATGGAATGGACTTATTGGTCAGTCATACAAGGGGATAGAGAAAGCAGAGAAGACAGAGGTGACCACAGATGATTTGAGCCAGAGAGGAGGAGACAAGGGCTTGCATTGACAGGGTGAAGTCAGGAAAGGAAGATGGTGGTAGAAATTTCAGAACCTGGTTGATTTTTCACCATGTTGAATTTAGGCTCATAAAGGGACGCCCGTTAGGATAGGGCAGGGCAAACCGAGGGCCATCAGCACAAGGTCCCAGCACCATGGGGGCCCAAAACCAGGGTCTGGGTTTAGTGCTCCCCAGTCGGGGCAGGAAAAGGGAGCATGGTGGGCGGGAGTGGTGAGGCGGGCCCAGGACGGCGGGGTTCTTCGGGTTCTGGAGAGCTTGAACGAGCTGCAAAGATGTGTCAGTTGCCTGCGCTAGTGGCTCACAACTAGATTTCTGTAACCAGACAGGGTTGCAGCTACTGTGCAGGTAACCGGCCTGTGTTTCAATCCCTCAGGTGGTACTGGAATGCTATGTAAGAAAGGACTTGGTCTACACCAAAGCCAACCCCACGTTTCACCATTGGAAGGTCGATAATAGGAAGTTCGGGCTTACTTTCCAGAGCCCTGCTGATGCGAGAGCCTTTGACAGGGGCGTGAGGAAAGCGATCGAAGACCTCATAGAAGGTATTGGATTTGTCGCTGCACTCTTAGTGGGGCTCTGGGAATGCTCCGGATTCTTCTTTAATTCCAATCATCTGCCATCGTGTATTTGTGGTTTCCTGGGGGAGGGGCGGGCAGGTCTGCAGATGCCCAGACATTCAGAACATCCGGGGGAGTAATTAAAGTGACAGTGAGCGGAGAAAAGAGACAGGCTTCAGAGTGAGGCATGATCCTATCTGGCCTTTAGACTGCCCTGAAAAGACAGGCATTTCCGGATTTCTACACACATCAGGGTTTGACTGATTTCACCTTGTCCTGACGATTGGACTGGCTCTGGTCTGGTCTGTCTGGGCTCAGAAGTAGAGAATGGATTCTGGGACTCAGATTGCCCCAAGTCTGCCCACTGTTGGGAAATCAGAGCCCAAGGTACCCAGAGAAGGGATCCATTGCTCCAGGGGCCCTGGTTTGCTGTGGGCCGTGCTCTGCATTGGAAGGGCCTGGGGCCATCAGCCCTCATGGTGGGCTTGGTTGTAATTCACAGGGGCGAACAGACGATTCTCCACTTCAGCATGGCTACCAAAGCAGAGGGTTAAAGGTGCCATGACCAGCTAGGCACTGTGGCGGATGCCTGTAATCTCAGCCCTTGGGAGGCTGAGTGAGGCAGGAGGATCACCATGAGTTTGAGGCAAGCCTGGGCTACAAAGTGAGACCCTGTCTCAAAAAAAAGGAAGAAAGAAAGAAAAGCTCTATGCCCATTGCCCGGTGTGTTCTGTTCAGGGCTCCCACGATCTGGAGTTTAGAGTACAATAACTGAACTGAACTCGGAAGCTGTGTAGTTCAGACCTCCTCTCCGTAGGCGGGAACAGCAAAGCTGACCCCTAGTCCCACGGTGAGACTGCGCCTGGTCTCCCTTGAGCCTCCCAGTCCAGTCCAGAGCTTCTCCTGCTGCCCAGCTTCGGCCTCCCGGTCACTGCAGAGGCTGGGCACTACATGTGCCCCTCCGAGAGCGGGCAGGGTCTCCCCCCACCCCCTGTCCCTTTCTGTGTGCTTCTCCAGGGACCAGTGCAGAAGTTGGAGAGATCAACCAGGAACAGCAGTGGGCAAAATGAATTTCCTGACAAGGGTCCATGAAAGAATAAATAAAAGCTACTTAATCCCAGCTAACTTGTGTCTGCTGGCAAAAGCAGTGAAATGTGATTTCCTTAAAGTACGGCTCTTTGAATGATTGGGTTTGACTTCTGTTGGAGACACATTTTTACTACCTTTTTGTCTTTTCAGGCTCAACAACTTCCTCTTCCACCATCCATAACGAAGCTGAGCTTGGTGATGACGACGTTTTCACAGTAAGTTTGCTTTGTCCTCTACTTCCCGTGTTAGGGGGTAAATAAGCAGAGCAAGGTTCTCACGAAGGGCGTGAGAGACACCTTGTGATGTGGCTTGGGCTGCGGCTGTGTGGATGCCATCAGAGATCCCCATTGTTTCCCAGGCCTCGTGTGCTGGGCTTCCTCCCCCTGCCGGGTACCATCTGCCACGCAGCGCAGCAGTGTGAACTTCGCTGGATCTGTCCACAGTTCCTTCGTTCAAAGTCTGCTTTCCTATTCAGAGTGATTCACTGCTCTCCTTTGTCTGGGATGGCCCAGTTTTAGCACCCCAAGTTCCTGGTCCTGGGAAACACCTCATAAATCCCAGGCGAACCAAGACATTTGGTCACCCTGCGTGGAGCCTTGCTCATACCCTGCCTAGCGTGCAAAGAAGCCGCAAGCACCCTTCCTGATGAGCAGTCAGCGTCTGATAAGGAAGGCCTGAGGCCCCGAGGCTGTGTTGGGTTATGCCTGAGTGTGCCGGGGAGGAACAGGCTTGGCTGTTTTGACACAGCTTGAGTTAATGGGAAGTAACTGGAGACCGAGTGATTTCTCAGCTTGCTTCTTCATTTAAATCTTGTGCCTATAGTCGTTAATTAAGAAACAGTTCATTGCCTGCCTGCAGTGTGCTTGGAGCAACAAGGCAGCATTTTCAAACCCAGGGCTTTGACCCACAATAAGAAGTGCATTTCTGTGACACATATCCATTGACACCTGAAAGGAAATCATACTTCATGAAACTCAGCATGCTGGTTTGTATTGTTTTCAATTTCTGTTTGTGTTTTTGTTACGAAACTTTACCAACAGGAAAAAAATAACAGTGAACACCTTCGTATGCATTTCTAGATCCAGCAGTTGTAACACTGACATATGGGCCTAATTCATGCCAATACATATAATTAAATACATACATACAGCAGTCCCTGTGCACAGACCCATAAATGTTGTTTTTTGTTTTGTTTTGTTTCTTTGACACAGGGTCTCACTATGCAGTTCAGGTTGGCCTTGAGCTCACTTTGTAGCTCAGGCTGGTCTCAAACTTGCAACAATCCTCCTGCCTCAGCCTCCCGAGTGCTGGGCTTAGAGGCATGCGCCACCACGCCCGGCTGCACAAGTGTTTTTTGCTGATCCGTTTAAAACAAAATTTCCCCTAAGTCTTCATCATGTATTTCCTTAAAAAGAAGGCATTTACAGAAGAATTTTAGGGTAGTGAAACTACTCTGTATGGTACTGTAATGGTAAATACAAGTCACTTTATATTTGTGCAAACCTAGAGAATATGCAACTCCAGGAATGAACCCTAACGCACACTGGGGACTCTGGCTGATAAGTGGGTGTCGGGGAAGTTCACTGATGGTAAGAGTTGTATACTTTGGTGCAGGATGCTTCTTAGGGGAGGGAAGGAGTATATGGGAAATCTCTGTACATTTCACTTCTGATTTTGCTATAAACCCAGAACGATTTCAAAAATTAAGTCTGATAAAAGTAATTTTTTTAAAAAAATCATTCCTCTGTACAATGTTTCTACCCCTAAGAAAATTAATAAGACTTCCATGTCGTCTAATATGTATTTCATACTTACTCAGTTATCCCAGAACTGTCTTGTAAGCTAGCTTTTGTTTCCTACGGTATTTTAAAAAACTGGGTGCTTCCCCTTAAACTGGTTTCCCAGCTCACTCGTCTTTTCCCTTTAGTGATATAAAACATACTACTAGGGCTGGGGATTTAGCTCAGCGGCACAAGCACCTGCCTGGCAAGCGCAAGGTCCTGAGTTTGATTCCTGGGACCAAAAATAAAAAAAATAAAACATACTACTTTGGGAATAGAAAGGTGTGTGAGCCGTGGCTCCAACCTTGCAGGCAGCAACAGGATGGTTTGCAGAGATGAGCTGGATTCACGAGGGACTTACAAACTGGAGCCTGTGGGAAGTCATTTGGCCCAGAGATGAGGGAAGGAGCTCTAGGAGGGGAGGCTGGCTGGAACTTGGAGCATGTGAACTGGGTTCTGCATAGGGCTTTAAGATTAGGGAACCATGGGACTGGGGATTTAGCTCAGTGGCACAGCGCCTGTCTGGCAAGCGCAAGGTCGTGAGTTCGATTCCTGGTACGGGGGGGGGGGATTAGGGAACCCAGGGACAGTGGCGGAAGCAGGGGTGTGAGTGGTAATTTGTCTGGGCGCTGCCCATCCCAGCCAGCACAGACAGAGCGTGCGTAGGGGCTGCAGGAAGTGGACTGGGCTGGCCTTCCCTGGAGCCTGGTGCCGTGTGGGTCTGAACAGGCTTCCTCTAGTGCTCCGAGCAGATCCTCTCGACAGTTGGCATGTTGCTTACATCTGTTCTTTTGTCACGTTTCGGGAGACAAACAACAGCAGGCGGGTTAAAAGGTGGCTTCCTGTGCTCCAGAGCTAAACTGTCATTCGCAGCTGCTTCCCAGCTACCTGCCAGAAGTTTATTTATAGATTCAGGAGAGGGCAAAGGGATGATGGAAGCCAGAATCCCTGCAAGCCTTGTCCTTTCGGGTACAGCAGAACGCCTGGGAGAAAGCTGAGAAACAGCCCTGTTGCTTGCATACCTGGAACCTGGCTGGAGAAAGAGCTCCGCTTGCTCACCTGCATTCCCTGTGGGCCCTGATGCATGTGGGTCAGTTCCATTTGTTAAGTCTGAACCTCAGCGCCAAGAAACGAGCAGCCACTTTATCTCCTGGGTAGTCTATCGCTCCCCAGGTTTTGTTGTGCTCTGAAACTTCCTGGGAAGACAGATGTTTAGAATTAGGAACTCATTTATCAAAGAAGGGCTATACACGGTGGTTAGACCCTCCTGCAGCTTAAGACAGGACAGGATGACGATGAGTATGGGAGAGCCCTTAGAGGAGTAACTTGAGGAACCGGGGGTGTATCTCTTCTGTTTCTGCCACCAGGGCTCCCTGTTTCAGGAGATGCAGTGAAACTAGGGGGGAAGCGGGGCATTATGGGTAACATATGGACGCCTGAGAGCACAGCATTCCTTGGTGCATGACACTGGGGAGCACTGTGGTTTGAGTGTGTCCCCAAGGGTTTCTGCGTTGGAAGCTTGGTTCCCACAGTAGTGATGCTGAGAGATGGTAGAACCTGGTAGCTGGAGGGTTTAGGTCAGGGGGGCATTGTGCTCAGAAGAGATTAACATAGTTCTCGTGTGATCCCTACTTCGTTTCCAAGACAGAGTTGTATGCGTGGCCTTCCCCTTTCACCATGTACTCTGCTGCTTTTGCCCGGCCCCGCCACTGTAATGCCATCTGCTGGGGGGGGGGGGAGCTTTCACCAGAGCCAACCTGAGGGCAGGCCTGTGCCCTTGAGCCTGTGGAACTGGGAGCCAAATAAACGTCTTTAGAGAGAGCCAAGCCTGGGGTATTTCTTTTCTTTTTTTGGTACCGGGAATTGAACTCAGGACCTTGCACTTGCCAGGCAGGTGCTTGTACCACTGAGCTATATCACCAGCCAGGGGTATTTCATTTTAATAATGGAAAACACACTACTAGCGGAGTGGCGCTAGAGGAAGAGGGTACCATGTCCCAGCCACCCCGTGGAGTGGTTCTATGGATTCAGAAGCTCCCAGTTTGTGCTGCCCATGTCCATGCCTTCCCAGCCCACACAGTTCTCCCCCCACCTAGCTCGTCGTCCTGACTTCTCAGGACAGAGGAGCAGGTTCCATTCCTGGAGGAAAACGCCTGTCTGTGTGTCTCCTACCAGAGCTGCCACCAGAAATTGCTGACTAGTGACTGCTCTGGCTGAGTTCAGGCTATTTACCCTATGTATTTCCTAATACTTCTCCCTCACCCAATTATAATTGTTCTTTCTTCTTTAAAATCGGTAACACTTTGTCTTTTACTTCCCTCTGGCCATTTGAAAGCCTTCCTTTTTCTCATGTTGTTTGCTGAACGAGTATCCAGGTGGGTAGTTTTGAAGGTTTTTGTTTTTGTTTTGCTTTGCTTTTTGTAGTACTGGGGATTGACCCCAGTGCCTTTACATCAAGTGGATGTTCCCAACCGTTTTTATTTGCGTACTTTTTATTTTGTCATGGATCTTTCTGAGGCACCCAGTCTGGGCTCGCACTTGCAACCCTCCTACTTCCGCCACTCCGAGGGCTGGGGTTACAGACGAGAGATGTCCATTTCATATAAACTGTTTTCCAAGTTCCTGTTGGTAAAGTTTGGTCCATTAAAACTCAGTGATTTAATGGCTGCTGCAGAATCTTGAAAGTCATGTTAAAATGTGACTAGCATCTTTGGAGCTGGACGTGGTGGTTTTCGGTCCTCTCGGGAGGATGCAGCTGTGGTGTGTGTGTGTACTTACTTCTGGGGCCGGCCATTCCAGAAGCTGCCATCAAGCGCCGTCGCTGCTTCAGCTGTCCTCAGGCCCAGGGGCTGACGGTGGCTCTCAAGCGAGGGGATTAGCAAAATATCTGCTTCATAGGAAGATACTTGGGAGTATATAGCTAAGTCTTCATGTTCCATGATAAGTTGCCTTTAAATAATATCCAAATCTGAAAAGCAGGAAATACTAGTTGTACAACTAAGGCATTTTAAAAATGGAGACAAATACTAGAAGAAAGAACCCCAGAAATGGAAAGTAAATTTCTCTGGGTAATAAGAAGCTAAGACAGGGAGGACTGTGACAAGGGTTGCTATCTGACGGGGGGTTTTTCCTTCTCTTTTTTTTTTTTTCTCAATACTAGGGATTGAATCCAGGTTCTTCACACTGAGCTGTAACCCTACTCTTTTACTGTCCTCTCTCTTCCTTCCTTCCTTCCTTCCCTCCTTCCTTCCTTCCCTCCCTCCCCCTCCCTCTCCTCCTCCCTCCCTTCCTCTCCGGCCCCCTCCCACCTCAGCCTGCCCCAATGCTAGGATTAAAGTTGTGTGCCACTGCGCCTGGCTGCTGGTTGATTTTTTTTTTTTTTTTTTTTTTTTTTTTTTTTTTAATACTATACTATGGGTGTGTTGTTGCTGTTTTAAAAGAAAACAAAAAGGAAAGAAGAAAGTGTTTCTCAGAATCGGGGACAAGGGAGAAGAAGAGACATCCTACCGTAATTCCCTCATCTCAGAGGGTGGAGAGATTGAAGACGCGGGGAGGTTGTGTTCTGAGCTCTGGGTGCTCTTCCGTGGTTCTCTGTGAACACAGAACTCCTAATGCTCAAGCGCTTACATAAAGTGGCGTGGTATTTGCTGCACAGAAGCTGTCCACACCCTTCTGTAGACACAAACTCACCCCTGGCTTCCTTACGTCACCCAACAGGGTAATGCTGTGTAAATAGCTCATGTACTATATTTTCAAGGACTTGTGTGACAAGGCCAGTGCTTGTACATATTCAACATAGATGCAGTTTATTCTTGTGAATATTTTTGATCTATGGTTGGTTGAATCCCTGATTGTAAAGCCCTTCCTTCCACCGACATAAGCCGGGCCCCGTTTACTGGACAGTTGCAGAAGCAGCTGGGAGGCTGATGCGTGACTCGCCGAGGGTCACACAGCTGGTTTATGGTTGGTTGAACGCCGTCCACCAGCCTGTCCCGTTCACTGCTGTTGTTTCCTTTCTTAACTGAGCATTCTAGCTATTCCGTGTGTATTCCAGCTATTCCAGTTTTTAAACAACCAAATGCAAGCATTATTTTTGAGTGCTGTCTTGGACCTGAGTTGGAAAGAAAGAGATGAGATACAGTGTAACTGGTGCTCAGTACTGCCTGTTTCTGTGAAGGATTTGGGGCCGCTGCAGCAGATGTCCCCTTGGGGTACCCCAAACAGCTGCTCAGAGCTTGACCACAGGAAGCCTACGGTGAAGCCTTTACTTATACACCGCCCCCAGGGGTCCACCAGCCCAGAATTTGTTTTGTACTGGGGCCCTTCCCCGGGATTCCCGGTCCAGCCCCAGCACCACCTGGCACCGGCCTGTGCAGGATCAGAAGAGTACTTGCCTCCTGTGAGGGGCTCCATGCTCTCCGAGAGCCCAGCTGAAAGGGGCCATGTTTGGGTTATGATTTGGAGTTCACTATACCTTATTTTTTTCTGGTGGGCAGCCTTCTGTCACACGGAAAAAATGCCCTGTCATTCGCCAGAACATCAGTTTCTGGCTATGTTTGCCCAGACTGGAAACCTTGGTCCTTCCTGGTGCCCCCAGCTTGAACCCCTGACATCCTGTTTATTGGAAGCACTTTATGGCTTTCTGGCTGTTCAGAGCAGTTGTCCCTAATGACATCTCTGGACCCTCCCATCCACCCCAGGTGTCCTCTAAAGCGCATGGTTAAAGCCCAGCCCAGAGAGCAGTTTGTTTTGTCCTACGTGAGCTTTCAAGTATTTACAAGCTGTGCGTAGATCCGTACCTGATTCAGTGGAAACAGGACTTACCGAAGTGTGTGGTCATCAAGGCATCATTTACAAAAGCAGAGACGGACGGAGCGTCACATTTTCCTTCTCCCGCGGGCTTCCTCCGTCCCCAGCAAACATCAGGCAGAGAGCAGATCTGCCAGATGTGTATGTGGGGAGTTCATTTACTGGTTTTCTAAAGAGTTTTTTTTTTAAAGATGAAGTGGGTGTGATCCAGGAAATTTGCAGTTTGGAGTGTGGGGAGAGGCCTAGATTTTCAGTGGCTTTGTCATACCTCTCATATTTGACCCTTCAGACCCAAAACCATTTGAGGGCAGCATATTTCCTTTGTGTCTGTTTGCTGGCCCGAGGGAGGGAAAGAAAAGGGACTGAGACGGGAAGCCGTGTCCATGTGTGCTTTGTCGGTCGTGGCTGCACCGGGGCCTCACACCCACTGTGTGGGGTACAGAGTGACACTTCCCTCTCAGCAGATAAAATGACCAAGGCTCATCCGGAATGCAAACCCCACACCTGCTTGCTACCTTCAGAGAAGGTGAAGAGGAGGATATATTTACCAATAAGTTTCAGGCAGGCACTTATACCGCTGAGCTGTATCCCTGGCTACCAATAAGTTTCAGAAGGTTTTACGCATTCACATATTTCTTCTTGGCAAAACACCTGCCTGGATGTAAGACTTTCCAACTGGTGCAGTGGCTCAAACCCCAGCCATCCCTCCCTGTTGAAAGCCCCCATCTCACTGTAGAGGACCAGTGGATCTGTAGTCTTTGCCTTTAAAGGGAGAAAGGTACTGGGATAAGGGGTGCAAAGCAATAAGTAATTTAAAATATAAATTAGTTCTACAGAATTTAGTGAAACCATTCTGTGGTGCTTAAAAATTGGTTGTGTTTCCAACACTTAGGGAGACTGAAGCAGGAAGATCTCAAGTTTGAGTCCCACATAGGCCACTTAACAAGATCCTGTCTCCAGAAAAAAATTTCTGGGGATATAGCTCCGCGGTAGAGCAGCCCTGGGCTCAACACCTCAGTACTGAAAAAGAAATATTTTTGTCACCATTATTTTCACAATGAAAGACTCCTCTAGGTCCTAGAGGGGATAATCCAGGGTCTGGGGCAGAATGAGCTGCCTGGTGGATTCAACCTGGCTGCTAGAGGCCAGGGCTATAGCTCAGCGGCACAAGCGCCTGCCTGGCAAGCACAAGGTCCTGAGTTCGATCCCCAGTACCCAAAAGAAAAAGCAAACCAGCTGCTAGTTGTGATCCTAAAAGAGCTCTGTTTATCTCTTTGAAAGAGGACACCTGGAAGCCATGGAGGCCCTCAGAACAGGTGAGCCGGAGCTACCTGTTGTCAAAATAGCTGGTAATTTCCTGTTTGCCCCAGGAGGGAGGATCATGATCTAGTTGGATGCTGGGGTGGGGAGAAGGCCCCTGTCACCCAGGCCACCTGCCTGGTTCCTGCCTGAGGCTATGGGGAATGGGCCAGGGAGGGGCATTTTAAATTAAGTGGGAATTCCTTACAGTAGGATGAACTATGTTTTGCTCTATTTTTGCTGTGTTGCTTATAGGTAGCCATCTTTAAAATTCAAAATAATTGGCCCAGGCATCTGGCTCAGCAGCACAGCACCTGCCTGGCAAGCTGGAGGTCGTGAGTTTCGAGTCCCAGTACCAAAATATTCAATTAATTAATTAATAAAAATTTAGAGTATCAGCAGCATCTGCAGACAGCACAGTTGTACTTTTTGTTTGTTTGTTTGTTTGTTTGTTTTGGGTTTTTTTTGTTTTTCTCCGGTACTGGAAACAGAAGTTGTACTTAAACTAACCCTGTCGCTCTTGCACCAGCTCAGCTGCAGGCCTAGTGTCCTCTGACCTGTGCTGTCCTCCGGAGGGTAGAAGGGTGGCACATGCCGTGGCCACAGCTCTCACTGCCCTTCCAACCCCCTCCATTTACACAGACTGAGAGAAGCTAGAGCAAAGCCTGGCCTGGGACTGAGGGTGTCCGCCTCCCTCTGTATAGTGGTGTTTTTGCTTAACGTTGCGGAGTGATTCCTACATGACGTCCAGCTCCTTAAGCAATTTCTTACCTTTATTTCCAGTACCTCGTTCAACACCCACAGGCCCTTTTGGCCCCTCAGATGGCCCAGTGGAGAAGGCTTGGCTCCTCGTGCTGTGTGATTTCTTCCCTGGGCTCCCCAGGACACGGGGCTTGGAATAGCTGTCTTTGCTGGCCTTCCTCTCTGGCTGTGGGTTTGTTCCTCTGTCTCCCTCCTCAAGGAGAAGGAAACCGCCATTGTCAGCCTTCTTGTGGTCTCTGCCGCACAGGAGCATCGTGCATGAGAAGGCTGGAAAGCAGGTGTCCCTCGGGCTCCAGGTGTCCCAGGGAAAGCAGCCGAGGCACAGCGCAGCACGGCCCTGCCTTGCCTGCCAGCTGCAGCTACCTTGCTTCTACTCCGGCTCCCTTTAGGAAAAACAAAGATTGAGCAGGGAAACCCAGGGCACTGTGTTGAAAACTCTGGTGTCACTGAAGTACACAGTCCAGCGCATCCCCGGGGCCACAGGAAGCCCTGGTCACAGCCGAGCGTCCATGCCAGGCGGATAACTGAAGCAGACCCGCTCCTCGGCTCATCTGGCCCTCGCTTCTTTCTTTCCCAACCTCCTCCAGCTCCTCTTGGTGAAGCGTTGACCCAAACAGAGAAGCCCATTCCTGGCCCAGGACACCTGAGCAGACTTGTGTGCTCCTGCTTTAAGAACGTGCTATAAGCCTAGAAGAGAAGCCAAGCTTGCAGGAGTAGAAGACATTGGCTGGGGATGTAGCTCAGCGGCACAAGTGCCTGCCTGGCAAGCACAAGGTCCTGAGTTCGATTCCCAGTACCAAAGAAGAGGAAAAGAAAAAGAGTAAAAGACATTGTTCCAAAGAGACGCATGCAGTAGGAAGGAGCCAGGGTGGGGTTTACAAGAAGAATCAACCTTCCAGGCCTCTTTCTCCATTCGGAACAATTCCTCTCCAAACCAGGCAGCGCCGATGTTGGGGAGCTGCCAGTTCATGAGTCCAAGTGGCCTCAGCCCCGGTGTCTTTGCACTTTAGCTTCTTACTTGTTTGGAGTTGTCTGTCTGTTGTAAGTTTTTTGTCTGTTTTGAGGACAGATTATTGGTAAGTTGTCCAGACTGGTGGGGAACTTGTGATCCTGTGAATACTCCTGCCTCAGCCTCCCAAGTAGCTGGGCCTGGCTCTAGATTTTAAAGTATTTTATCAGATGTTCACTGATAAACTGGAGTCCCTCCCTCCTCCTCTGATCTTGGCCTGGGCTGTCCATCCAAAGAAGGTGCCACCGCCTTCGCCCTGTGCCCTGCTTGAGGAAACCTGCCTGGCCCTTACCGCCTTGGGGCTTGTGCTCCAAGGATGAGTCTGCCAGCCTGCCTTTGTCCTTGCTGCCAGGAGCTTCTCCCCAGTAACACGTCACCTGTTCTGTCTGAGCCCGCGTCACACAACACAGGCGGCTCAAACCCAAAACCCCAAAGGGAAGGGGCAGTTTTGTTTTCATTTTGTGATTTTTGTTACTCCCTGCTTGTGTCAGGCTGATCCTCTATCTTCTGCTGTCCAAGCTTGGCAGTGCTCACCGTTACGTTAGTACCACCAACTCCTGCTTCCTCCTCTGTCCTCTTTCCACACCCTCTATTCCTTCTGCCTCCCGCAAAGGCTTGTCCTGGAGCTCCACTTGGGGGCGCACAGCTATAACCCTAGTGTTCTGGAAGGCAGGGGTAGGGGTCGGGGATGGCAAGTTTGAGCCTCGCCTGTACAACTGGACAAAACTGTAAAATAAGGACAGGGCTTGTAGATCTGCAGAGGCCCTGAGTTCAATCCGCAGTCCCAAAAAAGGCATAAAAGTGAGAGTCTTGCCTCTGCTCACTGACCTTTCAGAGGGTATTAGAAACCAGGTAACCATGCTTATTTATTACTCACAATACATGAGTTTTTGCAGTAGCCATTAAAAAACAAAAAAACAACATATACTCCAAGGTCTACCCCTTAAGAAGGGGACCCAGCTTCTTGGTTGATCAAGAAACCCTGGTTCCCATGTTACACTGTTACAGACTATAGAGAAAGCTAAAACATTGCCTGGCTCAGTTTACAAGACTTGACTTAACCTGGATACAAAATAAGGCAAAGGTAATTCGCATAGAAATAAAGTAGGAAATACGTAAAGTTTCTAAGCAAAATATGAGATGATCAAAACATGGTAAATGTTTAAAATTTTTAAAAATTATTACAGTGAAAGGCACATCATCAGTAATCTCCCTCAAGCTATCTCTCCTCACTTTGAAAAGACTTATCCATTCTTGCCACTTTGGGAAGAAGTTCAGGAACTTCTCTTTTCTGAGTGTCTTTACAAGGTATCATAAAAATACAGTAAATGCTGCCGCCGAGGGCCATCCCACAGAAAGGCAGGCTTCTGTAAAGCACTACAGCGTGTGTTCATCCACGTATTCAGCTGTGGCACCATGTGACTTTGGGCTCTGGCCCAAAGTCAAAATGACCATAAAGGTAAATATTTTGATTAGATTCGGGACATCAAGATAGCTACAATAGCACAGTAAAGACACTCAGGAAAAAAGACTTCCAGAACTAGTTCAGAAAATTAGATAAGTTTTTTTGAAACAAGAGGGAGTATTTTGAGGGAGAGTAATGAGAATGTGTCTTTAAAATAATATGGTGGCATACACCAGTAATACCAGCACTCGGGAGGCTGAAGCAGGAGGATTGTTGCAAGTTCGAGGCTAACCTGGGCTACAAAGTGAGTTCAAGACCAGCCTGAACTGCATAGTGAGACCCCATCTCAAAAAGACAAAAATTAATTAAATAAAATAAGATAATAATGTTTAAAAATTGAAACGTTGACTGTGTTTCTCAATTGTACTTACATTAAAAACTCATGTCAAGTATTAGTAAGACAAATTCAATAAAACACCTGGAGAGTCTCTTGCAGGGAAGCAAGGATGACTGCTGAATTCATACATTCATAGAATAAAACAACGGCATTGCGTACCCATCTCAGCAGGCACAGAAAAGTTGGGTGTGGTGGCCTCCAGCATCTTCTGGTAAAAGCTCATAGCAGTCTAGAACAGAAGGGAACTTGTGGAATTTTATAACCACTCCAGCTATCCAAAAGCATCACACTGAATAGAGAGAATCATTAGAAGCTGTGCCCGGGAACTCAGGCTAGAGACAAGCAGGTTGCTGATTTTTCCATGTTATTGAAAGCCCTGCAAAAAGACAAACTAGGATAAGTAAAAGATGGTTGCCAGGGAGATAGCTCAGCAGCACAGTGCCTGCCTGGCAAGCACAAGGTCCTGAGTTTGATTCCTGGTACCAAAAAAAAAAAAGATGGTTAAATATCTGAAAAGAGACCAGGCTGTCTCTTAGGGGAGAAATGACTTACCCAGAAAAACCTGGAGTCACTTGGTAAGAAACTTGAGGTTTTACAAGAAGAGCAGCCAGGTGCAGCTCCGTACTCTGCATCTGTACCTTCCCTTTGTATCAGTGACCAAGAGTTTGGGAACTGGCATTTTAAATCTCATTTCATTTTTGCAGGAACTATGTGGAAGACTTTAGCCCCATTTTATAGTTGTGGAAACTGGAGTTAAGAGATTCACTTGATCAGGATCACACAATATTATGGTGTGAGTCTACATGGCCCCTCAGAGCCTCATGCAGTCATAGGTGGGGCTTTGTCAGCGGTGGCTGGATCTACAGTGTGTGATGCTGGAATTGATTCGTGGTGCAGTGCTAGGATAATAGGCACTAGAATTAAAGGAGTGCTGCTACCTGCCCTGAGCAGCCTGGATAAGCTGAAAGGGGCAAAAAGAGCTGTTACGCTTGCTTGCTTGCTTGCTTGCTTTTGCTGTCTTCTGCTTGCCATGAACTAGTTCTGCTTTACAGTGCCCCTCTGCCATACCACCCTGCCTTGGAGCCTTCTGGTTATAGACCAAAGCCATACGGCTGAATTGCTAGATTGGGAGGTGGCATTTGCTCATACAGATAGCAGAAGATGTCTGAGAGTCTTGCTTGCTCATGTGTGTATGCGGACCCCAGGGAGAGCCAGTTCCAAGGTACATGTGGCCAGAGGGAGACTTAGCCCTAGCCTTGGGTGAAGGTGCCACACATGGGCTTCTCACGTCCACTGACACTGAACCCGTGAGAGCTTTGCACTTGACTGTAGTGGGAAGAGGCCACCAGAGCTGGGGTGGGGTGAGGGACGAGAGCACCAAAGGTGGGGGAGTGGCTGGTGAGTCTGGGAAAACTGCTGTGCCTCATTTCTCAGAATGACTTCCTACACACTGTTAGCCCAAGCATGGGTCACAGAAGACAGGGTGGACTGGGGCGAACGGATGACTAATATGGAGGTGACCGTGATGTGTTAGCTGGCCTTCTGGGAACTAAGTGCTGGTGTGTTTAGCGCCACGGTAACGTCTAACCTCTGACTGTGATGTGGAAGTCAGTCAGGAATTTAACTTGAGATTTGAATCACCCTGAAGAGCCCTTGTGTTCTCATTCAAAAGGTATTTTTTTTTTTCTTTTTGGTGCTGGGAATCGAACTCAGGACCTTTTGCTTGCCAGGCTGGGAATCGAACTCAGGACCTTTTGCTTGCCAGGCAGGTGCTGTACCACTGAGCTATATCCCCAGCCCCCAAAAGCTATTTATTGAGATCTTTAGAAACCTTTGGCTCTGGGAGACGTCATCCCCCTACCTACTGGGCTGATGTAAAGCACGGTACACCTTCCCACTTGCAGACGCTGCACTTGTGCTAATCTCAGCAGAACACTGCACAGGCTAGGAATTGGAAGTGGGTTCACCTGAAGGCAGAAGTCCTGCTGGGCCTGGGGCCGGGAGAGGGCGCTGCGTGTCAGTCCCAGTTCTGCCAGTGGCTTCCTGCTGCCGTGGGTGGGAGCCCACTGCTCAGTCGCCCACTGCTCAGTCTCCCGTGCTGGTGTGTAATGTGGAAACTGTCACCTGCCGGGCCCAGGTGAGAGTCTCGCTGGACTATGGCTTGGGCCTGCCTGGCACCCTGAGCAGTCACATAATCTGAGCTCCTTGGGGCTGGAATGTAGCTGGGTGATACAATGTGTTCTCCTTCGCCTCATCCTCAAAAATCTTTGTTTGTTTGTTTTTGTTTTTTCCGGTACCGGGAATCGAACTCATGACCTCGCACTTGCCAGGCAGGCGCTGTGCCACTGAGCTAAATCCCCAGGCCCCCTCAAAAAACTTCTTTCCCTGCACCTTACCCAGAATTCCAGGCTTGTGAGGCCCTTGGATCTTGACATCACAGGTGGAGGCAGCAGCTTCCCCGGCCTCTCTGGATGGCATCCAGGAGGACCGTGGGTTCGTATTGGAATTGATCGCTGTGGATTAGAGGACTGAAGCAGGTAGCAGCCCGAATCACAATCACATGACCCAAACAAGTAGAGGAAAATCCAGATGGGACAGGTTCCCAAAGAGATGGTGCACTTCTCTACCAAGTTTTAAAAATTAATAGTAGAAGCCGGACCTCTAATCACAGCTGCTCGAGAGGCTGAGACAGGGGAATCACAAATTCAAGGTCAGCCTGAGCAACTTAGCAAGACCCTATCTCATAATTTTAAAAAATGAGAAGGGATGGGGCTGTAGCTCCCCTCAGTGCTCATCCTAGTGTGTGCTAGGCCTTGGGCCGAACCCTTGGCATCAGAGGAAAAAAAACGGTGGTTCTGTCGTATAATAGGAATATGGATGTCTTTAGTGTTTCCGACAACTGACAAAAACATTTAGAATAAAAAAGATAACAATGAATAAGTAAATAAAAAGAGGTAGATTGGAAAATGAGAGAAATGAGATTGTCAGAGTAGGAAACAAGGGCCAAGGAAGTGTTTCTTTAGATCTGCCAGAAACAAGACACCTAAGTACCAAGAAAAACCTGGGCTGGGGATGCAGCTGAGTGGTGGAGCTGTCATGCATAAGGCCTGGGGTTCTATCCCCAGCACCCCGGAGAGAAGTCTTTTCTGTTCATCTGTTGTCTCTGCTGGGGTGGGGTTTGGGAGATGATCTGTCACTCTAATGAAGCAGAAGATTAGGTGGGGTGCTGGGTACCCCTGGCTTTAAGGTGGTTTCCAGCTGCATTTCACAGAACCCGCTCTGAGAGGGGACCAGAGGATTGTGGTGTGACCAGCACCGGGCCAGGGGTCATCTGGCCTGTTCATGGAGTCTCGGGGTGTGGAGCACCTGGGTGGCCCCCTGTGGCAGAGGCTGCCTGCCTGTATTCTCCCCACAGCCACAGACCACACTGCCATTCATGACCCTCATTCTTCTGTGCAATCATGCACCCCACTTCTAGTTTAAAGTGGCCTCCAAGACTTGTCTGCGGCCCCAACGAGCCGGGACCCATGAGACCCCAGAGGTGTTCTCTGAAACCTTCCCAGGCTGGGATTGCCTCACACACACTGGATGTGGGCTTTATTTTCACATCCATGCATCCCCCCTGCTTGCCATAGGGCTGCTCAGCAGGGCCACACCAGTGGGGACCTGCTGTATTGGGTCCTGGTCCTGCAGCCCACGTTGCTCCCACATCTGAGAAAACAAGCCCAGCTTTCCCAAGCCTGGCGGCAAGCTCTTCCACCCATTGAGCCGTCCCGCAGTGACAGGATAAACCCAAGGCTGTGAGGTCCCACGAGAAACTGCAATTGGGAAATCCATGGTACGGGAACAGTGCGTGTTAGGCATGGTGTGGTTTTGCTTTGCTTTGTAGTACTGAGGATAAAATCCAAAGAGTGCTGAGCGATAGCCCCACCTTTTTTATTACTTTTAAGTTTTTCTTCTGAGACAAGATGTCAATAAGTTGCCCAGGCTGGTCTTGAACTTCCCATCCTCCTGCCCGAACCTCCCAAGCAGCTGGAGTTCCAGGAGTGTGCTACGAAGCAAGCCCCCGGCTTAGTGTTTTGTAATCACTCTTTTAATTGTTTTAAATTTTTAATTACTCTTTGGTTACTTTCCTCTAAACAGACAGCCACGGACAGTTCTTCTAATTCCTCTCAGAAGAGGGAGCAGCCTACACGGACAATCTCCTCTCCCACATCCTGTGAGCATCGGAGGATTTATACCCTCGACCCGTACCCCCCAGACCATTACCACCTCGACCAGGTGAGCCCCCGCCTCGTGCCGTCCTCCTCAGCCAGATGCCCTTGACTAGGCCCTGTAGCTCCCTGCTTTGTGCCCCACCCCTCTCCATGCCTCCCAGATCACCCCAGGAAGCACGTTGTGGGCAACCTGCATCCGTGGAAGAAGTTATAGACACATGGGGTGCCTGGAAGAACAAGATTGAGATCTGTCTGTCCTCAGCCAGAGCGCTGTGTTGCCTCTGTTCCTCTGTTGGGAGGGCTTCCTGGCTTGCACAAATTTAGATTGAAGCCTGGCATGATTGCCCCCCCACTATCTCAGTTCTCTGGGAGGCTGAGGCAGAAAGGTACAAGTTTGAGTCGTACCTGAGCAATTTAGGGAAACTCTGTGTCAAATTAAAGCATAAAAAAGGGGTAGGGATATAGTTTAGTGTGAAAGCCTTGGGTTCAATCCCTAGTACTGACCAAAAAAAAAAAAAAAAAAGCTGCGTATTTGTCTCAAGCCCACAGGCTGTACAGACTGCCTACCCAGTCTTGGTCAGGGAGACAGAGCTCAAGTCTGGCATTCAGTAAATAATTCAATAAATATTCTCTGAGCAACTGCTTTGTGCAGTGGGTTCCCAAATCGAGGGCCATGGGTAGTGCCCATGGAGGGCGATGGGGGCACTGAGCTGTTTCATCTTGTTTTTTAACATACAGCTAGATTTGTTTGGCTCGTTTTTTTAAAAGATCACTTAATTGTGATATTTAAAATACTCTTTTTAAAAAATCACACAACCAGGCATTTTGGTGCACACCTGTAATCCCAGTACTCGCGAGGCTGAGGTAGGAGGATCGTTTCAAGTTGCTACAAAGTGAGCTCAAGGCCAGCCTGAACCGCACAGTGAGACCCTGTCTCAAAAAGACAAAAAATAAACAAGTTAAAAATCACACCGTAGTAGCTGTACATGGGAACTGGCTTTTTGACTTTCTTTAGAAGATATAAAATATTAGGAAAGCCCCATTTACTTTAAATTCTTCCAGAAAATCCAATGGGGAAAACGGAGCAAATCAATTGGGCAAAACAAATGAGACCTGGCCCTGCCTTCCAAGAGCACACGACTCGGAGGGAAGCCATGGGCAAGTGGTGTGACCAGCCCTACAGCAGGGTTACAGCCACGTGACGGCAGCAGGCCTCTGCGTCTGTGTGTCCGGCACTGAGCGCCCCCAGCGCGTGGGCTGTTGCCTTGCATTCTCACCGCTGCCCGTGCAGTTGGCACAGGGGGAAACTCGGTGACCTGCTAATAAGTTGTGCAGTCCACGTCTGACTGCAGCGGGTCGCTCCTGAGCTGTGCTCTTGACCACTGAGAGACCTTCATGCCCAGGGGCCTTCAAAGGTGGGAAGTGTCAGTCTGTACCACGGAGGTGACGCCCTGGGCGAGGCAGGGTAAGCCGCACCGCTGTGAACTAGGAGTAACGGCAGAGAAAACTCTCACCCCGAGGCGCAGGGGAGCTTAGGTTTGAAGGTTGCCATAGCAAGGGCAGCTCTGGTCTATCTACGTGGAGAGCCTAGCGGGATTCACACTCGCTCTGCCAGCTGCCCAAGCCTTCGCTCTTAGCCTTCTCCTATCTGTACATCCTGCCTTCCCAGCAGAATCATAAGGAGAGCCTTGCGTATATTTACACGCTGCAGTTCCTAGTATCCCCTACTGCCCTTGTGATCCAAAGTGCAGAATACATCTTATGTCATGACCCATTGTGAACACCGTGTACACACACAGTGAAGTTTCATAAGTCAGAACTTACCTTACAATATCTGATGTACTCAGTATTACTTTTTTTTTTTCCTTGAGACAGGGTCTCACTGTGTAGTTCAGGCTGGCATTTAGTTCACTGTGTAGCCCACACTGGCCTTGAACTCGCAGTGATCCTCCTGCCTCAGCCTCCCCAGTGCTAGGACTACTGCTGTGCACCACCAGGCCCAGCAGAGTATTCTTATTCTATAGTCTTTTTAAAAAAATGCAGCAACAGCCAGGCATAGTGGCGCATACCTATCATCCCAGCACTCAGGAAGATGGAAAGTTCAGGGTAAGGCTCTCACAAAGCCCCGAGCCACCCTGTATAGAAACAGCGAAACTACTGTGAGCTGTTTGGAACCAGCACAGGTTGCTCTGAGGCACAGCTCCCTCAGGGAGGATTGAGGGAATCTGAGGAGCAAGGTCCGGTTCTGCCTGTTGATCCGGGAGTGTTGGGCTTCGGAACAGAGTCCTTGTGATCTTTCCAAGCCCCTGCGCACTTCCCTGTGTGTACAGGGCCACGGCAGCAAAGAGGGAAAGTGTGATGCGACCCATCCAGCTCATTTCCTGACCCTGTGAGGGGCTGAGACCCAACTGGAAGTACATCCACCTGGGGGCAGGGGGAGTCCTAGGCAAGTTTAAGTCGAGCAGCTTAGTGATTGAATGAGACCCTGTCTGAAAATGAAAAATAAAAAATAAACTTTTTAAAGGGCTGAAGAGGTAGGTTGCTTCAAAGGCCCTGGCTTCGGTCCACAGTGTGGGCCAGGTAGGTGAAATTCATCGTTAACCAACAAAATAGTCACAAAAAGGGCTTCTTCAAGGTAGGGTTTAGAAGATACATTCTGGCGCACTGCGGGGAGGAGCTTGGGGGTGGCGCGCGCGCGCGTGCGTGCGTGCGTGCGTGCGTGCGTGCCTGTGTTGCCACTGCTGTAAAGCAGCATGCGGTTTTTCCCCGGGCGGGGCAGCGGATGCCGAGGCCCTACCCGCAGGTGAGCTTCCCGGACGACGACGAGGAGATCGTGCGCATCAACCCCAGGGAGAAGATCTGGATGACGGGCTACGAGGACTACAGGCACGCGCCCGTCCGGGGCAAGTACCTGGACACCTCGGAGGACGCGGACTCCTACGTGCGCTTCGCCAAGGGCGAGGTCCCCAAGCACGACTACAACTACCCCTACGTGGACTCCTCGGACTTCGGCCTCGCCGAGGACCCCAAAGGCCGCGGGGGCAGCGTGATCAAGACGCAGCCGGCCCGGGGCAAGTCCCGGCGGAGGAAGGAGGACGGCGAGCGCTCGCGCTGCGTGTACTGCAGGGACATGTTCAACCTGGAGGAGAACCGGCGGGGCCACTGTCAGGACGCGCCCGACTCCGCCAGAACTTGCATCCGCCGCGTGAGCTGTATGTGGTGTGCGGACAGCATGCTCTATCACTGTATGTCGGACCCCGAGGGAGACTATACAGACCCTTGCTCGTGCGACACCAGCGACGAGAAGTTTTGCCTCCGGTGGATGGCTCTTATTGCCTTGTCTTTCCTGGCCCCTTGTATGTGCTGTTACCTGCCCCTTCGGGCCTGCTACCACTGCGGGGTGATGTGCAGGTGCTGCGGCGGGAAGCACAAAGCGGCCGCCTGACTCAGTTTCCCCTCCTTCCCTCCTGCATCCACAGCCACAAGGAAGCGTGTTGTCTCTTACATACGCTCGTCTTCTTCCTGCTCCCTTCTACTCCAGGGGCGAGGAGAGGCACCGTTCCAGCCTAGGAACCCTCCCGGTGGACTCTCCCCTCCCTGGCACCACCGTCTGCCACCACCCCCACACACGCTCACTCAGTGTTCTAAGGAAAGGAACCTTCTGCATAGACGCTCGTGTATTATTACCAGCCTGTACTCAAACTAGCTGTCTTACCCATGTGTTGATTTTCCTGTCTCTCCTCTCCTGTCTCTTCCAGTTCAGAAGGGTCTGTGGTGCAAACTGCTGATTTTTGGTGGGTTTTGTAGTTGCTTTTCCCGAGAGCACCGAAGAGGATCTTTCTCTCGGGTGGGCCTGCCTGTTCCTGCGGAGATGTGATGTCAGAGCGATGGAACAAACCCTACCAGCAGTATTCTAACCTGCAGTCAGTTATTATGTATAGGAGGTGAGCTGTCAACAATCCCGCACCATGAATCAATACCGCTCTAACTTGTCTAAAGCCAGCTTGCCCATGTAAGCTACAGTTCTATCTTTAGGCCATCTACATATTTCTGCCCCCTATCTGTTGGATTTATTCACTGATGCAAAACATTCACCTGTAAAATGATGAGAATTGAGCCTTAACTTCAGATTAACTTGTGAGAATCAGGAAAAATTCCTTAAACTGCGTCATATCCTCGTGGACCAGGGCTAGAAAGGGGATTTCAGGCTCCTGTGAGCCTCCCCGCTTACCCATAAAATAGAACTTTTTAAAATTGTGTTGCCACCACTGTTTAAAAAAACAAAAAAACAAAAAACAAAAAAAAAACAAAACTTAGCAATAGTAGAATAAGATGCGAATGAGGTCAGAAATTTTGCTTATTGTTTTGCAAACCAGGTTGTGTCTTCAAACACCAACCAGTGTTCTGCACACAAGCTCTTGTTGGAAAACACTTAAGGTTGTGGTGAATAAAACTATAGGAGCTTTCCCCCCTCCCCCTTCCTGCCCCGCCACTGTTTTATATAAACCAGGGGGAATTTTAAATGTCATAAATTTGAAGAGTGGTGGTTTGCATGTTTTGTTTGTAGGATTCTGTATTTTGTTTTCGTTTTGGACTCAATTTCACATCACCAAATTCTTCATTTATACTTGGGAAAAAACAAGGCCATATGTAAAAACCCTTCTGATGCCTAAGTGTCTTTCTCCTGCAACACCCAGACTTGCCACTTTGGGTGCGTAGATCGTTAGGTCAGCCGATTGGTTCTACCTGTTGCCTTGCCATGTAGGAGGCTTCTAGTTAGCTGGAAAAGAGTATTTTTCTAACATATTGCAAGGAATAGCCAAATCTTCTTATTGAAGAAAGAAGAAACGTGAAGAATAATTACTTGTACCTAGCATAGTACAATCAGAACCTCGTCGGGCCCACAGGGGACAGGCTTGCCGAAGCTGGCTCTTCTCCCCACCAGTCTTCCCGTGGTAGTTGCCAGCTGAAGGCGTGGCCCGGTCTCCTCACCTCCCTTCCCCCACCCCTTCTCTATTGCACACGGGACATCAGTCTTCAAGGAAAGGGACTTTCTTACAGTCTACCAGTCTCACTGGGAAAATGCTAGCCATGCTTACCTTCCCGGGAGTGTTTGCAGCTCGCCTTGAGAGCCCACCCCGCTTCTTTAGACAGATCATCCGTGTAAATACCCACTGTGCTTAGGAGTTAGTTGGTAGACATTTTCATTTGTTGGGATGACTGGTTGGGGCTTTCCAGTGTGGAAAAGGAGCAGAGAGAGAGCAGTCCGCCTGGATCAGTGGAAGGAAAGGACCCTTCCCTGCCAGAAGAACATCGCGAAAACCCTCAACCAGCCTCTGACGCTGCGGAGAGACCATCTGCCCCCATAGCCTGAGGTTTCTCCTCAGGGCCTTTCTCTAAGGTCACCTCTCTACAAAGCACAACACTAACGTAGGCTTCCTCAGACCTCAGTTAAGTGCCCCTATTTATTTCACTGAAAACACACACATCCCGGCGGCTTTGTGTTCGTCACCTCTCTCTGGTCGTTGCTTCTTCTTGACCCGTGCCGGTGCCCACCCTTTTTTAAGAATTATGCTGGCAAATCTTACTCGTTGAATACTTCGGTGTTCGAAGGCAGAGGTTCGGGGCACAAAGACAGGCATGGGGACATCTATGTAAATACGTCTCTCTGATCGCCACACTGATGCTGAACAGCGTGTAGTATTTTCCCAGTCAGCTTTGCCATACTGACATCAATCATTTGAGAGAAATTATTCAGATTTTATTTTTGTATCTGTGGTAACAAACATTAACCAAAAGATTTTCTGTTCGGAGGCTTCCCCCAGTGACCCTCCCCCCCCCAAGCTATTTGCTCACATTAACAAATGAAAGTGCCTGAAGCATAATTCATTCTTTACCTGTATACTAAAACCCCTGTTGTATTGATTTTTTTATAATAAGCCTTTTTACCTCTGTGTAAAAAATATATATACAAGTGTATGATGTACATTTTAGTTCTTAACTTTTTTTTATGGTTTCTAATATGTATGACCAATGTAGCCATTGCTTTAAGATGTACCATGTAAATACAAACACATCCTACCAGATCGCTGGTGTTGGGTATTTGTGTGACCGGAGACAGTGGCGGTGGAGCCTTGGCCGACTTGGGAATTCCTTTGCAGAAGGATGTGTGCAGAGACACCGGTCTGTTTTTGTGAGGCCCTTCCCGCCTCTGATTGTGTCATATTCTCCAGGGGAGAGTGGAGCTCCTTAGGCGCAGATGCCTCAAGTGAAAGGAATGCTGCGTGTGTCGCCACCCAGGGAACACCCCCTCTTCCTAGGCCAGCCTTCCCCCCAAGTGCTCCTCAGAGGGAACAGCTGCGCTTCCTCTGGGTTGTTTTCCACCAGTTCCTGCTGGACCTCCGGGGGGTGTGTGTAGTTTGGAAGTCAGTTTCTCACAGAAGACAATTGTTCGGCCTGCGTGACCCTTGCGCTCCTCAGAGCACCCTCTTGGCTCACTCTCCTTTCCAAACGGGCTCGGTGCGCAGAAGCTGCTTTATTTCCCGGAGGAAATAAAGGATGGGGTCTTCTCAAGGTCACTGAGGCAAAGTCTTCAGCTCCTTGTTTAGAGAACCAAGTAGGGTCCTAACAAAAAGAAGTATAGATAGAGGCCCCTACGTCTTAGTTTGAACTCTTTCCCCAGAAGGACAACACTTCCAAGCTGCTGGCGAAGATGAAAAGCGAAGAAGGGTGCTGGGCGTTCGGCAGCGGGAGGGAAACGGAGGGCTTCTCCAGAGCTGGCTTTGCGGGGAGGACTTGAAATGACCCTTGCCTGTCTCCTAATTACCCTTGTTTGATACGGGCTGAAGCCCAGAAGGGGTGATTGAGGTAACCCACAGTCAGGGAGGCAGGGACTGAGCCACGCTGGCCGGCTAGAGATCCCAGGTCCTTACAAGAACTTCCTCAGTGCTGCTGTTCCACCTCTGCGGCCCTGCCCCACCCTCAGGCTGCCTCAGGAATAGCTTGTGTTTGATTTCATGTGTGCTACTCCAGGAACCGCTACCCACGTCATCTTTAACCCTCTGCAAAAGGAAGGTTCCTTGAGATTTTCATGTAAGAAAAGTAGTGCAGAAAACGGTGTAACTCAACCAGGTCACTGGACAATCTCTGCTGTTACTGGCCAAGCCCTTGGGTAAGCGTCTATCCCTTTCTGAGTTTCCACAGGTGTAACTGTTAGCAAACCAAGTCCAGCTGTTGCCACACGAAAAGGCCAATTAGACAAGAGACACCCAGACGTGCCGGCACATAAGATAGGCAGACGTAACACTGAGGACAGCCAGAGTCGGTTCCCTGAGTCTAGAGTATACCCAAGTGCAGACCTCCAGCTATCTGTGGCTACCTGCACCTTCTAGAGGTAGAGGAAGGCCGAGAAAAGTTCAAGTCTGCAACCTATTTCTGTAATCTTAAACCTAGCACTAGCCCTACCCTGACACTGACACTAGACATAGCCCTAGAGCTAACTCTAGCCCTAGCCTTAGCACTAGCTATACACCTAAATCCTGACCCTAACCCTCACCCTAGCCCTAACCCTAAACCTAAGCTAACCCTAACCCAAGCCTAGCCCAAGCCCTAACCCTAAATGTAAGGCCAACCCTGAGCAAACACTAACCTTAGCCCAGCCCTAGCCCTAGGTTTAACCCTAGGCCTAGCCTTGCCCTAACCCTAACCATAATAGTAGCCCTATTCCTTACTCTAACCCAACGCTAATCCTAAACCTAACCCTAAGCCTTGATATAGCCATAGCCATAGCCATAGCCCTACCTGTAAACCTAAAAAGACCAGGGCCTGGAGCTGGAGCTGGGCCTGGGCCTGGGCCTAGCCCCAGCCCCAGCCCCAGCCCCAGCCCCAGCCCCAGCCTTAGCCATAACCCTAGCTGCCCTAACACTAACCCTATCCTAGCCCTAACATTAAAACTAACCCTAGCCCCTAACCATAAACATTTACTTGTGTGGGAACAAGAGTACTAAGAAAAATCTGAGTCTGCAACCTTTATTTAAAACTGTAGAACAAACCAGGCATGGTGGCGCACACCTGTAATCCCAGCACTTGTCAGGCTGAGGCAGGAGGATTGTGGCGAGTTTGAGGCCAACCGGGGCTACAAAGTGAGCTCAAGTTCAGCCTGAACTACATGGTGAGACCCTGTCTCAAAAAGACAACAAAAACAAACTGCAGAACAAATCTGTGATACCAGTTAGTCTTCTAACAGTTCATGCTAAAGAGACATTCAGAAAACCATAGTCTTCTGATTTTCAACTGAACAGAACAGCACATTTTTGGCCAAATCACTATCAAGGCCTGCAATACAGGCACTCTGAAAATCATTATTGAAGATGAATATTCCATACATAGAGCACAGCCATTCTTTAGTCCCTAAATCTAGTCTGTGCCCCAACGTAGAGCTCTGTACCATAAATCTTAACATTAACACTAAGCCGGAGATATAGCTCAGCGGCACAAGCGCTTCAAGCCAGTACAACAAATTAAAAAAAAAAAAAAAAAAAAAATTAACATTAAACCAACCCTAGTCCTACTCTTCACCCTAACCCTAGGCCTAACCCTAGCCTTAACACTAACCCTAACCCTAACAGCTACCGCTAACCTCAAGCTTAATGCTAACATAAACCCAAGCTACAGCCCTAAGCTAATACTAAACCCTATACTAAAACTTAACGGAGACCTACTGCTAGTTCTACCCCTAAACATAATCAAAACTCTAACCATATCCCTAATCCTAGAGGTAACACTAACATAAAAGCTAACCCTAGCCCTAGCCTCACAATAACCTTAACCCTAACCTCTAACCCTAAATTTAACCTTAACCCAAATCTAAGCCGAACACTAACCCTAGCCCCCGTTCTAGGCCTTGCTCCAACCCTAACACTAACCGTAAAGTTAACAGCAGAACAAATTTGTGATATCAATTAGACATTTAACCCAGAGTTCATGCTAGTGAGACATTCAGAATTCTTGCTGTTCAACAGAACTAAACATTTTCTTAAACCAAATCGCTATTCACTATACAGGCCCAATATACATGCACTCTGGAAATTAGTATTGCAGAGAGGCAGGCATTGCAGACAGCACAGGCAAACTGCATTTTCTTTTTTGTTACCAGGAATCGAATTCAGGACCTTGCAATTGCCAGGCAGGCACTTGTGCTGCTAAGCTATATCCCCAGCCCATGGATTTATTGTATCTAGTCTATACCCTGAAAGTGCTCTAGCTGTTTGCAGTTACAAACTATCTTTTATGCCCTATTCTTCCATTCATTTCTAGAGGTAGAGGAGTGCCAGACAAAATTTTGAGGGGCTAGGGATTTAGCTCAGCAGCACAAGGTCCTGAGTTCAATTCCTGGTACTGGAAAAAAAAAAACAGACAAAATTTTGAGCCAGAAGTTTTACTTTTTTAAACCTTAGACCTAACACTAAACTTAATCCTAAACCTAATTCTAACCAAAGCCCTACCTCTATACCTAAACTTATATATAGCCCTTGCCATGGCTCCAGGCTTGACCCTAAACCAAACCCTAAAACCTAAACCTAAGCTTAGCATAACCCTAGCCCTAGACCTAATCCTAACCTGAACCCTAACTCTAGCCCAGGACCTAGCACAACCCTATCCTTAACCCTAATGCTAGCTCTTTCACTTAAAGCAGCATTAATCCTAACCCTTGTCCTAGCCTAAACCCAGCCCAGCCCTAGCCCTAAAACTAAATCTAAACCTAAACCAACCCTAACCCTAACTCGAACCCTAACCCTAGCTCTAACCTTAACCCTAGCTCTAAACCAGCTCTAGCCCTAGCCCTAACCCAAACCTCGGCACCACCCCAAACCAAAGATTAACTCTAACCCTAACCATAACCCTTAACCTAAACCTGGCCCAAGACCTAGTCCTAATCTCAGCCCTAACCCGTGAACCACATTGCGAAGTGTGAGAGGGTAACATAGAGAATAAAAGATTATGCAGAGATAAGATGTAGTTCCATCACGGAGGAGGGCCACAGGGGCTTCTCACCCAAGAGCACCCAGTATTAGGGAGACTCTCAGGAGTAGCATCAAAGCTGAGAACTCCCAGGCTTTTATTTAGAATATCTCCATAAGAGAAAAAAGCAAGGAGAAAAGAGGTTTGGTCAAGGAGCTATCTCAAGCATAGGCAGTTTTCCTGGGAAAGGGGGAAGGACAATAGCCAGACACAGCATGCTTCACTAAACTAATCTAAAGTTCTTGTTGTTTAACTGTTCACTCCTTGGCCAAGTCCTCCACATTTCTCCCTTTTTTGTTTTGCAGGATCGGGAATAGAGAGGAAAAGAGAAATCTAGTGCAGACAGGTGCAGGATTTGATGCAGGAGGGTCATCACAGCCTCAGAAGTGTCCCCTGGGACAGCATACAAAGGGCCTTGAGGGCTATAAAAAAGTGATAATAATTTTTTTTTTAATTTTAAAGAGTAAAAGAAGGATAACATAATAATGGGGGGGGGCTTACCAAATTACAGACAAAGTTGTGGGAAATTATCCATGGTTATTGTTTTACATACTGTTATCTACAAGATAGTTTCTCAGGAAAACAAATAGACAA